GACATTCCAGAGATCAGTTTTAATGCCTTGTTTGGCACTTATTCATCAAAATCTTTTCGCTTATTGGGTACTGTACTGGGGCAGTCGGTCCAAATCCTAATTGATGGGGGAAGCACACACAACTTTATCACCCCAAGAGTAGCTACTCATTTACACTTGACCTTATTATCTATCCCGCCGTTTAATGTGCAAGTAGGTAACGGCGACTCACTCAATTGCTCAGCCATGTGTCAATCTGTTCCTCTAGATATTCAGGGTCACCGATTTGTAATGGATTTCTTTGTCTTGGAGTTACAAGGGGCAGATATGGTATTGGGGGTCCAATGGTTAGCTACTTTGGGACCTATTGTGACTGATTATCAAAAACTGACAATGGGGTTCTCACACCAAGGTTCACACGTCGTTCTTCAAGGGGAGCAACGTATTGCAGCAAGCCTGATTACCTCTTCCCAATTGCACAAATTGATGGGTCAGAAATCTCTCGAATCTTCTATTATGTGCTTCTCTGCAGTAGCGACACCTGGGCCAGCTACTTTACCAACACAGCATCATTCTGACTACACCCCAGAAGTCCAGATTTTATTAGAACAATATCAGGACGTTTTTGCCACTCCCAATTCCTTACCCCCAGATAGGCCCAATAACCATCGTATACAATTATTTCCAGATGCCAAACTGGTACAAGTCAGACCATACAGATACCCCCACTTTCAAAAAAATGAAATAGAGAAATTGGTATCAGAAATGTTACACAATGGAGTAATTCGTCCTAGCCATTCAGCCTTTAGTTCCCCGGTACTGCTGGTCAAAAAGAAAGATGGGACATGGCGTTTCTGTGTCGACTATCGCGCCTTAAATGCTGTAACGGTGCAGGATAAATTCCCAATTCCTACCATTGATGAATTGATGGATGAATTACATGGTGCCACAATGTTCTCTAAGCTGGATCTCCGCTCGGGTTACCATCAAATCAAGATGCATGCCCCAGATATACACAAAACAACTTTCCGGACACACCAGGGCCACTACGAGTTCTTGGTCATGCCATTTGGGCTTTCTAATGCCCCATCTACATTTCAGGCCACCATGAATCAGGTCTTCTCTGAATTTTTGCGTCGATTTGTAGTGATTTTTTTTGATGATATTTTGGTGTATAGCTCATGTCTCCAGGAACATATTAGTCATTTACACCAGGTGCTCCATACATTACGCACTCATGCTTTATTTGCTAAGATGTCTAAATGCCTTTTTGCTCAAGCTTCTATACAATTCCTGGGACATATTATTTCTGGCAACGGTGTGGCACTGGATCCTAGCAAGTCCAAAGCTATCCTAGAGTGGCCCATTCCCACCTCAGCCACTCAAGTCAGGGCCTTCCTAGGTCTTTCTGGCTACTATCGACGGTTCATTCGACAATATGCTTCTATTGCAGCCCCATTAACTGACCTCCTTACAAAGGATGGTTTTATTTGGTCTTCAGCTGCTGAAGAGGCATTTTCTCAGTTAAAAAAATCATTGACTGAGGCACCCATTTTGGCTTTGCCAAACTTTAAAGAACCTTTCATCGTGGAAACTGACGCATCTGGAAGTGGAGTGGGCGCAGTTTTAATTCAAAATAATCATCCTATTGCTTTCTATAGCAGGAAGTTGGCTCCCACTATGCGCACTAAATCAACTTACATTCGCGAGATGTTTGCTATTACATCGGCTGTAGCTAAATGGAGGCAGTACTAAATCAACTTACATTCGCGAGATGTTTGCTATTACATCGGCTGTAGCTAAATGGAGGCAGTACCTATTGGGGGTACCTTTCACCATCCGCACAGATCACAAGAGCCTGCACAACCTCATGAATCAGGTTGTTCAATCTCCTGAGCAACAAGCCTTCCTCTCAAAGCTCTTAGGCTTCGATTATTCTATTACATACAAATCCGGTAAAGCCAACATTGTGGCGGATGCCCTATCCAGGCAACCAGAAGGGGCTTTCGACACTACAAAGCCCCATTTTTCTGCTCTAAGTGGTCCGATTAGTGATTACAAATCGCTACTGCTACAAGAATTACAACAAGACACCTACTGTAATAACATATTACAAGATCTACTGTCTGAACCAGCTAAATGGCCAGAATGGAAACTCAAGGATGGGTTGTTGTTCTTCCGCAACTGCATCGTTCTTCCTGTCAACTCTTCCATAATTCCCCAATTGTTACACGATTTGCACACATCTGTCCAAGGGGGTCACTCTGGCTTCACCGGTACTCTGCAACGTATTGCCAACAATTTTACCTGGAAAGGAATGAGGAAAACTATACGTGAATATGTGGCAAAATGTGAAATTAGTCAAAAGATTAAACCCCCAAATCATTCCCCCTTTGGCTTGCTAACACCCATTAAACCACCAGCAGAGACATGGACAGACTTGAGCATGGATTTTATTACTCACCTGCCACTCTCACAGGGCTCTTCAGCAATACTTGTGATTGTGGATCGATTTTCCAAAGGTGCTCACTTTGTGGCCTTACCACCACGTTACACAGCAACCAAGATCGCACAGGTGTTTTGGGAGTCGGTGGGAAAACTTCATGGCCTTCCTCGTTCCATCATTTCCGACCGTGACCCTTTGTTTTTAAGCAACTTCTGGACCACCCTCTTTCATCTGCAAGGAACTACATTACGATTCAGTTCAGCTTATCACCCTCAATCTGATGGGCAAACTGAACGCGTAAACAGATGTGTGGAACAGTTTTTAAGAGCTTTTACCTTTGATAATCCCTCTTCCTGGTCTCGTTACTTAGCTTGGGCCGAATATCACCATAACACCTCTTTTAACAGCTCCACAGGCTTGACACCATACCAGATTACTTTTGGTCGTCCACCTCCAAATTTATTGGTGTATACTCTCGGATCTTCTTCCAATGAAGTCGTCGATGCCACGTTATCTACTAGAGCCACCATCCTCGCCACAGTAAATGAGAACTTACTCAGAGCTCAAACTCAAATGAAAAATCAAGCAGACAAGAAACGCAAAGATAAGATTTTTACCGTCAGTGAGCAAGTCTTACTGCGTTTGCAACCTCACCGTCAAATGTCTGTTCAGCGTCGATCTTCTCAGAAACTCGCGTTGAGATTTTATGGTCCCTTCGAAGTGGTTGAGCGTGTTGGTCCGGTTGCTTACCGTCTAAAGTTACCACCTTTGGCTCGCATTCATCCAGTTTTCCACGTATCCCTTTTGAGGCCTTTCAAATCTGATCGTTGTTACCAGATCCATGATCTACCCCAGGCTAACCGTGACAACCCCATAGCCCATACACCAGCAGCAATTGTGGGAAATCATGAAGTTTGGCGAAAGGGAAACAGGGTAGCACAAGTTCTTGTGCAGTGGCAGGGGTTACCCCCTGAACACAGTACGTGGGAAGATGCAGACTTGATAGTCACAGATGGACCGCATAGTCACACCCGCGAGGCATCAGCGCTTCCTTACACAGAGCAGGCCCAAGGAATAATAGAGAAAGAGGATGAGTTACGAGTGCTTAACAAGGAGAGGGTGAATGAAGTGTTTTCTCTCCGTTCGAGACTACATCCCCCTCTTACAATTAAGAAGCATCTGAACACTGAGTCAAGGGAACTGGTCCCAAAGACTTTTCAGACTGCATCGGTTCCCAAACAACCAATGCATGTGATACCTACTCCTGCTATCATTAATGCTGACCAGCTACTTCCCAACTACTCATCTACTGCACACTTAGTGAACCCCACCAACAGCTGTCCTCCTCTGGTTGGACCGCCACTTCAACTCTTATCTCCTAGTGACCAACAGCAACCTCTTATCCTTGAGGACAAGGATTTGCTGGAACCGAAGGGGGATGTAACAGACCCTTATGATGAGATGGACCCAGGGACAAGGAATCACAAGAAGCTCGACTATCTCAAGGACTATGAGACCAATTAGTATAGTCGTGGGCCGTGGAGTTAACTGTGTGACTTTTATTTCTTTTATGTAGTGGAACAAACTATTTTTAATTGCTTAAGGGGTAAGGCCCATTATAGGTAGGGCAATATATAGTTGCCTCGGACAAGTGTTGGATTATGCTGAATTTGAATGAATTTTCTTCCCAGTGCTTCTTCTACCTCTATTCTTCTCATCTAGTCTCTCTCTAATTCTAAAATTCCCAAATCCACTGTTACAGTGTTGGAGGTGTCTAATCACGTTTCTTTGACTATTTCTTTCAATGGTATTCAATTGCAAGAAATATTTCCCTTAACCCTCTTTGACTATGCCAGAGCATATTAACATTCCAAATCCATCTGTTTCTTCTTTGCCTAAGAATGAGTAGTTTCACTCATATTGGTTATGAAACAATACATCATTCCTAATACAGTAATACCTCCTCCCTAAGTAAAAAGGGCATCACATTGATGCATGAAATTTCACCCAGGTTATAAATTTCATCTCATTCAAAAGATGCATCATTGAATTACGTGACGATTTCTTGGCAAAAAAACAAATGATATATGTGTCCCTTTTCCCTCCATCATTTGCTGTAGTCATTTCATCTGGAAAGAGATAGCTCAGGATTGACAGAAAGCACAACAAACTAAAAATAAATAAATATTATAGAATTTATCACTTATAAATGTATAATCTAGTCAAATCTACCACTAGGCATGCTCAACGGAATAAACGCAAATAGAGTTTGAAAGAATTTTAGCTTTAACACGACCAAAGATACTAAAAAAATAAATAAATTGAGACCAAGACAAATGAATTATACAATTCTAGATATGACCACAACCAATTTCCTTTCATAGTCATTAGTGAGCCCAAGCTTGTGGTGAAAGCGATAAGGAAATTAGAACCATAACTCAGGTTTCACAATCAGCTTCATTGTAAGACCACTAAATTGGGTCTAATCAAACAGAACCAACACCACATGCGGGCAGGTAAAAAATTTGACGAGAGCAACCTCCCACCGAAAAGTGCAATTGTGTATAAAAACAATGGGTCACAGTTGCTCAACACATCAAAAGCTTCCAAACAACGCACCATAACCACAGAAAATGGAACCCCCTTCCATCAGTACCCCGTGAAGAAAACATGAATGGCAAGCATATTGAGTGCAATAGCAGATTGACTTGTTGGAGCTGAAAAGTTTTTTAAAGTTTAAAAAACCATGCATGGCCTATTAGCAACAAAGGAACCCAATGATCAATCCAAAAACACCCCATTTAGCCAAGCATCCTGCCAAAGGTCAATAACATCAATAAAGCACAGACCAAAACAGAAATCCACCAAATAAGAAAGTAGGTGTGTGAGAAAAACATTAATAATTTACCCGCTTGACTACTTTATAATCAAAAGATCCTGAAACAGTATAGCCAAGTAGGCTTCTACTTTTAAGACTCCTCTCTCCCAATGAAAAAAAGCAAACTCCAGAGATGAATCTTCTCCTTGGTCGTTCAAAAACCCATCCAATAGACCAACACCACAAAATTTCCCATACATTGAAACTGGTAATCGAGCAGCAAATATATCATATGTAACCCCTCAAGCACAATAGCCACAAATCACAGGATAACCAGCAGCAATTATCAATAGCATAGAGCACGACATCATATTTTGACTGTAAGTCAAGCATGCATAAGATTTTAATAAATCTAAAGATCAGCATTTAGGAACATAAAAGAGTTTGATATATATGCTGAGTATTGCATATCAAAACACTGGTATCATTCATCCATCCAAACAACAATCCCAGAACATGGTCATGAAAAAAAAGTTGGGGAAGTATCAGCAACCCTCCAATTTGAAAGCTGCAAAAATCAATATAAATTTCATTAGAACCATGAAAACAATGTAAAAAAGTAGAGCTCAATGTATGTTGCATACCTCAACAAAGATAAATTATATCAACGAAATCCTCCAGATCCCCGCCGCTCATAAGGCCCAGCACGATCACGATCACGATAATATCGATCATTTCCAGAATCTCCATGACTACCACCATCCCTGTTCCGCCCACCAGAAGAACGATCTGCATTCCTATCAGGACCATAGTGACCACCACCATTTCCACCACTGTATCTACTTTCTCTGCCACCATACCTTCCCCCTCTTGCTCCTTCACTAGGACATTCTCTTGCAAAATGACCAGGTTTACCACACTTAAAGCATTCCCCACCATTAGATCCTCGACCACCTCCATAATCTCGATTACGATCGCGATCGCGATCACGACCACGTTCTCGAGGGCGATCACCATCATCTCTAGATGATCCTTGTTGAGGCTGAGCTTTATCAACAGTAATAGTTCGACCATCCAAATCCATTCCATTCATAGCCTCAATAGCCTCATCCATTGCTTTCTTGTCATCAAATGTGACAAACCCAAAACCGCGAGAGCGCCCAGAGAATTTGTCAACAACCACCTAATAAATGACCATTAGCAAGGAAAACATATATACACAGAACATTGACAATAAATAAATCAAATATATGTATAATGCTTCAAAACCTAGTTTTGATTATATTAAACCAATTTATTTTATCTAGTTAACTCAATTTTGTAATAAATAAGTTCAGTGCATACTACAATTTTCCTACTACATTAACAAAGAACGTTGCATAATTTGCCAAAAGCATAGTTATCAATTGCGGGTAGTGACCGATAGCGGCCAACCCTAAAATTGCTATAGCGGGTAGCGGTATAGCCACTACAGTGAAGTTCAATTATTTGATTTAAAAATATAAAATATATAACTATTTAATATAAAATAAATAATATATTGATTATTAATTTAACTTATTCAAAAAAATTAGCATCAAGAGAAATCAAAAACCTATTAACCACACACACACATATATATATGGGCAAATCACTTCTTCTGCTGCATGAGGAGAGAATTGATTGCAGATGAGAGTTTGAAAATTGTGCCAGGAGATATTTTATTTTTTTATTTTGTTTAAAAACAGTGGGGCCCAAAATCTTATCTCTACCGCAGGAGATGTTTTATTCCCATATAATATACATTGAACTATTGGAGAAGTAAATACATGCAGAAGGTTTTTGGGCTTGACTTGCCACAAAATAAGTGAGAGAGACCGTCATTCTTTCTTCACGTAAATATAGTAAGAGACTGAAGGAATCCGCCGTTGATCGAAACAGCCGTCTTTCCTTCTTCACGAAAACATAGTAAGAGAGACTGAAGGAATCCGTCGTAGATCAAAACAGAATCAGTGAGATCAAGATTGTACTGCAGTCAGAGAGATCACGTTGCTGTAGGCTTGCCGAAAATGGGTGGGAAAGAGAGATCAAAGTCGGAAAATGAGTGAGAAAGAGAGATGAAACAGAGCCACCGTTGCAGATTGAGATTTGAAGTAAATAGCTTGTAAGGGAGATAGGGTTCAGAAATAGAAAAGGATAAGAGTCCATTCTACCCTTAAAATTAAATTATTAGTCAATAACATAAAAAAATCACTCCCCTGCCCTTGTAGGGTGGAAATTGCACCGCTACGGCTGTGAAATGTTAATTCAAATTGCGGCTAGTATGGCTGCCACTGTAAAATGTAGCATTGGGTGCGGTTTGTTACGGCTGAGTGTCGCTACCCGCTACTAATGCAGTATAGCGCGCTAAAGCGCCACTTTTTTCATCTATGCCCAAAAGTACAGCATAGGTAGCATCATAAATGAAGCCCAAACAAACTTCTAAGCATGAAACTGAAATAAGACAATGACAATAATAACTGCAAGAAATGCCATATAATAATAATAATAATATGGACTTGATTACCTTTGCCTCAAGAAGCTTGCCAAACTTATCAAAAGTATCCTTTAACTTTCTATCAGATGTTGACCATGAAAGGCCGCCAATGAAGCAACGAAACTCTTCCACGTCAGACATCTGAAACTGCACATTTGCAGGAAAACTAGCATTAGCCAGAATATTTAAATTAGCTCTGCAGGGTCAGTCATCCTACAACGTACACAAATAAGGAGAAACTCACTCCACATGAATAAACCCAATCAAATTCAAGAAAGAAGAACTTAGCGAATGGGGTTCTCCAGATTCTTTATAAGGCTAAGCAATCTTCATATAACAAATATAAGAACATAACTTAATCTAACTTGTAGGGGGGAAAAGAAAAACACAGAAATGGTATAACAACACAAAATTTCAAATTCTATCTAGAAAACTTTCCACAACCTAGCAAAACTAGAGTATGTTCCCATCACTAAATGTATAAATTACCACCATATGCAAAGCATAAAACTCCCGAAAGTTTCATATCACATACCTTAGAAAAACGATGACTTAGGATTTCAATTTCACCCCAAATACACTACTAAGGGTCGGTGTAAAATCGTAAGAGAATTGATTATAAAAATTAGAGTTTGTTAGGGCATTACCAAGTAGAATCACTTTTGAAGTGTACTTAATACGATTCTCAACTTTAGGGCCAAAATCCAAGCAAAATCCAACGACCCCATGATTTCCATATATGAATCAAAACACAACCCCATCACCGTCTAGCTTGTAATAGATGTTTCAGAAGCAAAATTATCAAACTTACGAAGAACTCAAATTTAAATTTCAATGGGAAACAAGCGAATGCTGAACTGAATAACAGTGAATGAATATCTGAAAACAGTACCGGTGGCTCAACGATTTCTTCTCGGCGGAGGAGGAGACCAAAACCTAAGACTAGGACGGAGCAAAAGAACAGAAGCACAAACAAAATAAGACGGCGCTGTTTTTGATTCTGCCTTATTAGGTCGGCTAGCAAATGGCACGTGCCACTATGTGCCACGTTTTTTTTCATATTTACAATTTTTTTTTTTAATTTCATAATTTAAAAGTTTTTAAAGGACTTTTTATAGTTATATATATTTTTTAAAATTATAAGAACTTGCTTAAAAATTCATAACGTGTAAAGACTTATTTGATTGTGTGTATATCATCAAATAAATCAAATATAATGTATCCAAATTTTCAAATAAATTCTAGTAGTTTAATAAAATTGACGAAATTTTAGCAGTTATTACTAAGGAAAAATTCACTTATTTTGTTTAGATTATAAAGAGTTACAAAATAAATTTTTTTTTGTATGCAAGTTACAAAATCATAAGTTTACTTAATAATATTTATGAATAACTTATACTTTTTGGTTATCATTAATCCGATATAACATAATTCAAGATATTGTAATGTTAATAATGGATGATATATATGTAAAAAAAATAAAAGAAAATAGTTTCAATTGTATTTAAATTATTTCTGTATATTTTTCTTGACACTTTATGGGGAATCTTCACACTTTATAAATCTTTTGAAACCAATATCAAATTTTAAAACTAAATCCTAACATTTGATTTTTGTCCATCAACGATTATTATTATTATTATTATTAATTTGATAGAATCATAAATCATAATAATTATTGATGGATTCTGATTATACCCTTTAAAACAAGATATAATAAAGGAAAAAAAAATTATATAAATATTCTGCACGAAAAATAGAATGACCACATTTTCTTCCTTACTAAACAATAGTCTTTGGGCCCTTTAGGCCTTCAAATTCACTTGGGATTTGTCCATATCAGCTTGTTATATATAGTGTTAGTGCGCTTGAAGATCACTGTATAGTCTAAAGTGAAAATAGTTTGCTCAGCTTGGTGTGAACTGCAGGTTATTTTGGTTGACCATTGACTTACATTTTATTTTTTTATTTATAATTGGAGTCAAAAATATAAAATTTAAATAATTTATTTATTTAATTTGATTTGAAATTTTAAATTAATTTATATTAAAATATGTGAAATTAATTATTACTTAAAATATATGAATTTTTGTTTTAAATAATTAACATTTAGATAAAGTCAAAAAGAAAAGAAATTTTATAACTAAATAATTAATTATTAGAGTAAATATCCCTTCGATGCAAAAAAAGAGTAAATATCCTTTTGGGTCCTAAAAAAAAAATATGAAACCCATTTTAATCCTTTAAGAAAAAAAAATCGACTTGTGATTCCTCTGAAATTTCAGTTCTTTGAAATTGCAGTCCTTCATAAATTCAAAGAAGACTCATATTAGTCTCTAAAAAAAGACTAATATAGATAAAAAATAAAATTAAGAGATTAAAATAGGTTCCATATTCTTTTGTTGAGGACCAAAAGGATATTTATTCTAATGATTATATAATTTTGGACTTACAGGCCAGTTCTTCCATTATGAGTCAGCTAACATTTAATTGGGCCAAATCAGTTAGGCCGTATTATGTTAAAATTAATTTTTTTTTCTTTTACTTTTGTTGGGTCAGTCCTTATATTTTGTGGAGCTATTCAAGCTAGCCAGTGGAACATAATCCAATTTGACACCTTTAAATGGAAGTGGTTGAGTAGCTCTATCTTGGCTTCAGAAGCTAAGCATACGGGAAAAAAAAAATGATCTTACGACTAAAAGTCTAAAATATTTGGCACACTTACAAATTTTGATTTCAGCATGTACATAACTATAGTATAACCTATTTTGTGTCTACCTACCCGATATTATGTTGCTGCTACCATCATGGCTTTTTGGGGGAAATAGCACTTTATGCTGGGCAATATGGACTTCCAGAAACAAATTATACTTTGAAGGGACAACTGTATCTTAACCATGATCCGAGAGTAATTGAGAGAAGATAGGCCACATAACAATGTGCATGCAATGACTCACACCACGCCAAAGCTTGTGGTTAAAAATAAAAGGGATATAGATGGCTGTATTATGCTTGCTTATCTATCAGGTAATTGGAATGGAGAAATCAAGACATACTAAAATTGTAGTGGAAATTTGGGGTTAACTAAAAAGACTCCTTAACATTAATTAAAAGTACATAAAGATGGTGTATTTCAAAAAAAAAAAAAAAGTACATAAAGATGGTGATGTCTATATTGACATTGAGTCATCAACCTCTTAAGAATCTCAGCTTCACATAAAGACACTTTACAGTTTACATGTCTTGAATTAGAAAAACTTTGCTGATCCCCAAATGAAGTCCAAGGAAAAACGGAAATTGCTATTGGGATATGGAAGTTGAAATGCGTGCAAACTTGATAAAATAGAGAAATAAAAGCGATGAGGATTGACTAAGGAAAAAGAACAAAAAAATGAAGATAGGACAAGACTCATGCAGCTGTATTTGACACGTTGCCAACTTAAACTTGAAGGTGTCAACTTAAGATTGTGACGATGCCGTCTGCATTCTGAATTACTATGTCTATTTATTTAAGGCGCACTTTGTTGTTCACCCTTCACCTTTTTCCATTTGCAGTGATGGCACCCTTTGTTTTGGCTTTCCTATTCTTATTCTTAATGGGGAGTTCCAAGGGACAGCTTCAAGTGGGTTTCTACTCAAACACATGTCCTCAAGTTGAGTCCACTGTCCATGCCGTTGTTAGAGACGCTGTTGTCTCTGACCCCAACATTGCTGCTGTCTTGCTCAGGCTTCATTTCCATGACTGCTTTGTTGAGGTCTCTATATATAAATAATAATAATTATAGCTTGTGTTTGTATCTAAAGCGTGTCAATATTTCTTTTTCAACATTTTTGTTCTTATTTGTGACATGGATTGGATCATTTCAGGGATGTGATGGTTCAATTCTGATCGACAATGGTCCAAAATCGGAGAAATTAGCAGTTGGACATCAAGGGGTTAGAGGGTTTGATGTGATAGAAAAAGCCAAGGCACAACTAGAAGCGTCTTGTCCAGGCGTGGTTTCTTGTGCAGACATAGTGGCATTGGCAGCCAGAGACGCAATAATCATGGTTCTAACTATAACTTGATTATTTGATTCTTTTTTCTCTTATTGCTATCTTTACTATCTGAAAGAGTTGAATGTTTTTCTTTAAACTTGTTAACTGGAAACTTCAGCGTGTGTGCTTGTAAGTTGTTTAATTTCACCACGTTTATGACTGAAAAAAGTGTTGGATGTTATTATATATATCTGCAGGCAAATGGGCCAGGATACCAAGTTCCAACAGGGCGGAGAGATGGGTTGGTTTCCGATCTTTCACTTGCAAGAGACATGCCAGATGTTAGTGACTCAATTCAACTACTCAAGGCCAAGTTTCTGAACAAGGGTCTCACAGAGAAAGACCTTGTCCTTCTCAGTGGTACTCTCTCTCTCTTTCTCTCTCTCACACACACAAACAAACACATATATCTTTGTCATGCAGAGTAAGTGAGATCATGGTTGTTGAAGAGGTAAATTAATATGAACTTGGCCAATGGAGAGAAAATTACATGATATTGGCCAAATTACCAAACACATGACGTAAATCTACGTTGTTAACAGTCACACTGCTGCTAAACAAAGGTTAACAATTAATACAATAGAAGCAATTGGAGAAGTTTTGAGTATGATATGGGATCATATTTCAACACTTTACCAAATCTTAACAAGTTTTCATGATTCAAAGGAAAGTTTTTTTTTTTAGTTAACCCAATTCTAATCAACTATAGAGACGAGTTGGCTCTCCCGATATCTCCGTGAGCTGTACTTTGAATAGTTTATGAAACTAATCCGGAATAAAAAAAAGTCAGGAATTCAAGAAACATTACACCACGTCATCTACCGCTCTTTGTTTGATGAACCCGATACTGATCTGATAAAACAAAAGGGGTCTTCTAGGATTCTGAACAGTACCATATTTTTTTATTTATTCATTTAAGATTATGTTTGTTGGAAAGGATCTATCAGATTCTATATTTGATAAACAGGTGTATTAAAGCTGTAGGACACTTTGATATGATTAACCATTTTGTATTTATTGTGAAATTCAGTTGTTTAGTTTATAATAGAAAATAGATGGCTAAAAATTTAAGTAAACTTTAATGTTAGTAATTTATAAAAATTTGTAATTTTAACAATAGTATGCTCTTGGGCCATATTACTATGTGCGATGCCTTTCTTTTCTTGGTTTGGTTTGGTTTCCTTTGTTTCACCTAATCCACTAGACATTGACAACCTAAGGTTTCTTATCAGACCTGACATAAATTAATGGCAGATGGCAGTACTTTTGATTACAAATGGTGCACATGCAGCGGCGATACAGTTGTAACCTATATTGATAAAGATCTCTATTTGTTTGTCTGTTTTTTCTTATTTTCTCCTTTTGGTTTCTTGAGAAGAACCGTTTACTGGATTTGTGGGAAAGTAACAAGTTCACACTCACAACAGGGACAAAGGGGCTACAGTGCATAACGTTAACATACATCTGTCACTTTACCTTTTGTAACATTTTAGAACTCTACTCTCTTCAGGTGCTATAATAAGATAACGTTACGTGTAGAACTCTAATTAATATTAATATTCACAACTAAAAAATAGTAAAAAGGTGAGAGGTAACACATGATGCAATTGTGTTATAATTGCATATATTGCAACTAGTGGTATATATATATTGTTAATTTCTTATCATAGTAATGGTCCATTTCTTTGCAAAACAAATTTCAGCTGCCCATACAATTGGAACCACAGCTTGCTTCTTCATGACCAAAAGACTTTACAACTTTTTCCCAGCTGGTGGAGGATCAGACCCAGCTATTAGCCCAAACTTTCTCCCAGAGTTGAAGGCAAAGTGCCCTCAGAATGGAGATGTTAACACACGTTTAGCCATGGATGAAGGGAGTGAGCAGAAATTTGACATACACATTTTGAAGAACATAAGGGAAGGTTTTGCTGTGCTAGAATCTGATGCCAGGCTTAATGATGACATGGGGACCAAGGGTGTCATTGACTCCTACTTTGGTCCCCTCAATCAATTTTTTGAAAATTCTTTTGAAGCTGATTTTATTGAGTCAATTGTGAAGATGGGCCAAATTGGAGTCAAGACAGGTTTCCTTGGAGAGATTAGACGCGTGTGCTCATCAGCCAATTGAAGTGAATATATAATTATAATGATCAATTGATCATAATAATATGTATTATGGCTTCTGGTTTATTTTTATTTTTTTTGGGTGGATGGCTTCTATAGTATTTATTCTTACGTCATTATATCTGTTATTGTGTAATTATTCAACACATCGATGGGCACTTAATGGAAAGTCGTTGCGTTCTCGCTTGGCTACATGTAATTGTTGACCAAAATTCTTATTACGAGACTATTGTATCGGTAGCAATGTGATTGATGTTTATATATATATATATATATATAAAGAGGTAGGATCCTTTGACACCAGTGTCAAATTTGAAATTTGACACCTCATCTGAGAATTTGAATAGATCAAAAAAGATCAATGATGTCACATGCTTACAAATCAGAGTCATTGATCTTTTTTGATCTAATGGCTCTTAGATGAGGTGTCAAATTTCAAATTTGACACTGATGTCAAAAGATCCTACCTCATATATATATATATATATATACTATGAAGTACCGACACTTCAAAAATTTTGACGTCATGTCCGACACTTCTCGATACTCTCGGACACTCCGACACTCCAACACGTTATAGAAATTCAAAAAAAAAGGTTCAAAGATTGCGTTGCATTGAGTTTTTAGTTCCAACTATTACATTCGTTGTATTACGATTACCATTTTATTGAGTTTAATATAAATAGTTGGCATACCTTATGTTTCTTTGCAAAATTTATGAATATTATAAGATTACATTTATTTTTGTGTTAAATTATTGAGTCCACTACATAAATTAAAAATATTATTTAATATCAAAATGTGTCCTAACGTGTCGAAATCTAACATTTTTTAGAATTAACGTGTCGGAGTGTCGTGTCGGAGTGTCACGTGTCGGTATCGGTGCTACATAGTATATATATATATATAGGGAGAGATCTTTTGACTCTAAAGTAAGACTTACAACTCTTACTTTTCATCTCAACCGTTGATTTCCGTCCATCTAACTGTTATTATTTATTTGAAATAAATAAATAATTAATTGTTATAGATAACCGTTAGATGGACAGAAATCAACGGTTGAAATGAGGAGTAACAGTTATAAGTCTTACTCTAGAGTCAAAAGATCATCTCCCATGTATATATATAAATAATGTTCACAGAAACGACATTGTTTTGAGCGGAAATTATTGTGTATTTATAATTTTAATTTATTTTAATATTATAATAATTTTTATCATTCTAGTTTTTTTTAAGGTTATTGATGTTCACTGATTTTATTGATACAATTGTAAATCGGTTCTCATTTGAGCAATGTTTTTACGTGTATATTATTGCCACTAATATGATGCTATTTTTATCTTTGACGTGGCATTTTTTTTTATTACTCTGTCTCTCTCTTTTTGTTACGTGTAAGGAGTTAGTTGCTCTGTTGTATTTGTAAGTAGGAGTTTAGTAATTAATTGCTTTCGTGTATTAGTTTGTAAGTAGTGTTAAGCAAGTGCAAGCTGACGTGCATGTGTAAGCTACTATCACATGTATTGTTACGTGTTAGCTATTGTATGTCATTGCTTGTAATAGGAGTTAGTTACAGAGTCTTGTCTAAGAGTTCAAGAGATTCATTGAGGCTTATAATCGAACAAGAAAATACATTTGTTAGTTTCTTTCTTTCCATAGAACTCTGTTCTAACACTTTTTGGGTCACACACGTCGGATTAATTCTTTAGACCTCTTTCAACAAATGATTTCTCCATCACGCCAACCGACACTTGTTGGAATGTAGTTCTCTTTGTTATTTTCAATATGGTGCTATGCCTACATGTAGAAAATGACGTGGTATATTTCTAAGACAATAAAATTAAAAAATTACATCAAGAGGCTTAATTTTATAAATAAAAAAATATTGAAAACTTTTATAATGTAAATTAAAATTAGCAACAATTTATTGGATTAAGTTTTCAATCAAGAAAAAGTATTATTTTTAGTACAGCTAGGTCATTTTTCCATGCACACTCAATGTATATGTATCTAATTTTTTTTTTTTTTAATACAATATATGTATCTAATTTGAAGAAGGATAAAACTGTGGACAGTTATTTAAACAAATTGTCATGTAGCGTAAGAGATATTAATATAATCTCATTTACTATATTATATGGTTAGAGATATTAATATAAAATCATCTATATAGTCTTACTTAATGACTTAAATTTTTGGGTTAAATTAATGTTTTATATAGTATAAGAGACTCTACAAGTCTAGAGTTTGATTTTTGCTTCCGTCATTCTTTTAATAAAAAATTGTTTAAGGGAAAAAAATTTCTTGTAACATGAGATAAAATTATCTCCAATAATCTTAAAATGACATTATTTTTGGAATAAAAATAAAATGTATTTTGAAAATTTTACTTTCCTCTTGTATAATAAATTTTACTAAAATATCCTTTACTTTTATATCAAAATCCTAAAATAACGTTATTTTGAGATTGCAGGAGATAATCTTGTCTTCTATCAGAGAAAGCGTTAATCTCATACTTAATTTATATATTTCAAACCTTAAAAAGTGGGCTCTTGATGTGATAGGTCTGAATTTTAAAAAAAAAAAAAAATTTGTTTCAAACCGTATAAAAAAGAACTCTTGCTGTGATAAGCTTGTAAATTGTCCACGCTTCAATTCTATAAGGTTCTTTGGTACAAGTGAGTGGATTAAAGAATAACATAATATAAAACAAATAAAAGTGTTTTCATCCAATAGAGTTTATTGCAACCGAATCAATTTTGAATGGTAAAATTGAAATTTCAATCCTTGTTGCAGTGAAACCAGGTTAATAATTTTATATTAATATCTCAGAAGAGATGTTTCCTCTCTTTTCTATATACTCTCCTCGGAGATCATTTGATATTTCTCTCTTTCTTTTACCTCATCTACCACGCACTCAGACGTTTACATATTCATATTTTATATCATTGATATTTCTCTCTTTCTTTTACCTCATCACATTATTTATTCGTATATTTTTATTGTGCTTTTCTAACAATTAACATGCACCTCTCATAATATTTTAGGAATCAAGTTGGCTAGGAATAGTATTTGTGCTTTTCTAACAATTAATGTAACGTCTGATCGCTTCAAGAATCAACGACTATATGACTATCCCTATATACTAACACGAGCCTATTCAGTGTGTTTTTTCCTCACTAACACAAGCAGATGCATCTTGTTAGTATAGGTAGTACCAATTAATTCTTATAAGCTATCCCAAACTGTGCAGTCTCACACCTGCACAGTCTTTGGAATCTCTCTTTTTCGGGTGTCGATTCGATTCATTCATGCACGTAACCCCCCGCTGGAAATGTGAGAAGCTGCTCCTTGTCCATGCCCTTTCGCACGGGCAATCACTCCCCACCCTCGTTAGGGCTCAGGATGTTACAATTAACATGCACCTCTCATGACATTTTAGGAATCAAGTTGGCTAGGGAATAGTCCAAGTTCAACTTTGCTATGATACTAGAGTCAAGCAGGTCTAGGAGGAGGAGCCCATGGCAGGGAACCAATTCCAATGAATTAAGTTAGACCAATCACATCAAGTGAATACGACACCACGTTACAACCCAAAATCTTAAGACTATAGGTTTATGAATTTACCCACTTATATGATTTTTCCTTAACCCATTGTCAACCAATGTGGGACTATCACACTTGAATATCTAACAATAAATTACACAATTTCTTTATCCTAAGAAGGATGGAACACACTCAGTATCTTCCCCGAAAGAGATACACATTCAAACTTCTCTAAGTGAGGGATACCCAGTAGTCCTCACCCTCTCAAAGATGGAATATTAAGGTTTATCTCTCATAATAAGGTATATTCTCTGTAGCCCATGGAGGATTCCTTTGCCTCTCGTGGAGGATTACCTCAACTTGTTGATCAGATCTTTTTTCTTATTTATAGATAGGTAGGAAGGATATCTTCAATGTTATAGATTCTTCTCCACTCAATGTGGAGGATTTCAATTAAATTTCACATTCTTCCATTCTCCCATAAACTCTTTTCATTTTTTCATGTACTGGAACTTGGAAAGACAATAACGTGCAATGATATCTCTGATTAAGGAAAAATAACTCCCACAAAAAGCTGTGGCTAAGGAATATGACACTACGATGAGAAAACCAGCACAACAATAAATATTCTATCAACATAGCTAACACTAGTAGTTACCTTCCAAAAATTTCCTTCACTTCAATAACTTCAAGTACTTTTTTTCTTCTAGCCAAATTAGTGATCACTATGCTTTTGAGTTTTGAATATCAGAATCAGATTCAGAGCTAATTTCCCCATAAAATAATGCAAAACCGGAAAAGCTTGTATTCTCCGAACAAATTGGAGCACTATTTTGCTATACTAAACTAACCACTTGTTGATTTAACTTAAAATACTAGTTGTTTATTATCATCAAAGCGACATATGGAAATCAAATTCATAATAAATGTGGATGAATTGACATCAGGTGCATATGATATTCTCTTAGTTAGAAGATGATGTAAGTTGTAACTAAGTTGATGAACCCAAACTATTGAGCAGATATTGTAACATCACGGGCGCTGACGAGGGCGGGGAGTGATCGTTGGTGCGAAAGGGCATGGACAAGGAGCGGCTCCTGGCATGCTTCCAGCGACGGGGGTACATGAATGAATCGAATCAACACCCGAAAGAGAGGGATTCCAGAGACTGTGCTGGTATGGGACGGTACAGTTGGGAATAACTTATAAGAATTAATTGGTACTACCTATACTAACAAGATGCATCTACTTTTCGGTAGCCCAGAATGGAACAACTCCATAGTTAAACGTGCTTGACTTGGGGCAATTCTGGGATGGGTGACCTCCTGAGAAGTTTTCCCGGAAAGTGTGCGAGTAGTGAGGACAAAGTACGCTGAAAAGTCTCATGTTAGAGTGTGAGGATAGTCATTGATGCTTGAAAGTTGTCAGACGTCAATTGAAACTCCCATCATAATTTGTTGAATAAATTACCTTGCCGTGGCCCTCAGGATGTTGGAGGGATGAACTATATATAGAGATCCTCAATCCTATTATAAGTGCGTTGCACGTATTTAACTGTTCTTATACTTGATAGTCAATACTGAACCAAAAAATTATTAAATATGATATATAGTTGGGCTGTGATAAAATAAATTAAAAAGTGAGAAATTTTAGCATTCCACCGCAATTAGAAAACTTAAAGTTGGTCACGTTACCCTTGAACAGGTCAAAGGGTGATGAGAAAATGCAAGCCAAACATTCCACCAACCAAATACAGCAAAGCCAAGAATGTCATCAATAGAGTCAAATGGTTTCTAGTGGGTAATTCATATATCATTAAATATCCTTTGGTTCCTACATTTTCGTCCTACAAAAAAGGGCAATGCTCAGCCAATTTGAGCTCAGGTTGTAATGCTTGCCTCAGAGAGGAACAGAAGAAAGGGAATAGGGAACAGAGGAAAGATAGAAAAAAAGAAAAAGAAAAAAAACTATCTATCTTTCTATTCTTTATCCGTCTTTTTTCTTTTCCCTCTAAATATCTGGAATTGAAGGTAGACAGAGTTCTCATTTTCCTCTTTGTTGTTCCATCATCCCTTATATACCATCTCTATAAGTATTTTCATATCTCTTAAGGCATAGATATATATTAACATGAAAATCATGTTACAAATTTATGAAAGATTGAAAAGTGTTCAAATTTGAAATATTGTTTGTTAAAAATTATGACACTAGACAAACTAATTTAATAAATTTGCAGGGTGCAGCAATTTCGAACATATTTTATGTGACAATATTCGACCAAGTTCAGAGCTGATAAATAAGAAGATTTAGCACATTTAGATCCTGAGAAAAACTAAAAACAAGACCATGCCTCCAAGCTCAATCAGAAGAGCCCTTGGGGCAGTGAAGGATCAAACAAGCATAGGCCTAGCAAAGGTTGGAAGCAGCACTTCACTTGCTGACCTTGATGTGGCCATTGTGAAGGCAACGAGGCATGATGAATACCCAGCTGAAGAGAAGTACATAAGGGAGATTCTCAGCTTAACATGTTACTCTCGTGCATTCATCAGTGCATGTGTTAATACCCTCTCAAGGCGTCTAAACAAGACCAAAAACTGGACAGTGGCTTTGAAAACACTTGTTTTGATTCAAAGGTTGTTATCAGAGGGTGATCCTGCTTATGAGCAGGAAATATTCTTCTCAACTCGACGTGGTACTCGCCTTCTCAACATGTCTGATTTTCGTGACAACTCAAAATCTGGTTCATGGGACTTCTCTGCATTTGTGCGCACATATGCATTGTATCTCGATGAAAGGCTTGAGTACAATATGCAAAGCCGGCGTGGAAAGCGTAGCATGTTTGGTTTTGATGAAGATGAGGATGAAAGGGAAAAGGAAGGAGAAAAAGGCAAGGAAATCGTTGTAAGATCCACACCATTGCGTGACATGAAGTTAGAGCAAATTTTTTCCAAAATGCAGCATTTGCAATTGCTCCTTGAACGCTTTTTGGCTTGCCGACCTACAGGTTTGTAATTCTTTGACAAGAAAATTTTGCTTAACAAGTTTCCTATCATCAACAAAATTTCACGATTTCACGACGACCGTTTTAGTCTCTGGCAAATAAAAAAGCCCATCGTGGTTCTTAAAAAATTCAAAATGGACCTATTTTAGTACTTTTAAAGACTAATATGGATCTTTTTTGAATTTGTAAGGGACCACAATTTCAACTAAATGAGCCCATTTTGAATTTCTTAGGAACAATGATGGGCCTTTTTATTTGCTATGGACTAAAGCGAGCATCGTGAAATTTGCGGAGGACTAAAAAGGGTATTTACTCTTATTATTAAGATATCAGGTTGTGTATAGATGACATTTTTTTAGATTGAATTTAACAAATTCATGCGACCAACTTTTTTTCATTCGAAATGCATATGCATCATTTGTTATCTTTCATCTTGATTAAACATGTTTATTTAATCAAATATCCTAAAGTAAGTATATCAGTTCACATTCTTATGTTTTCAATTAATGTTTTGCACATACTTTAGCAGCACACATTACATGCATAAAAAGCAATCTCATGGTTGTTTCAATGTAACAGGGGGAGCAAAGACTCATCGAATTGTGATAGTGGCTCATTACCCGATTGTTAAGGAGAGTTTTCATATATATTATGAAATATCAGAAATACTTGGTATCTTAATTGATCGCTTCCCTGAGCTGGAGGTGACAGATTGTGTTAAGGTGTATGACATTTTCTGCCGTGTTGGAAAACAGTTTGATGAGCTAGACCTCTTCTATGGGTGGTCAAAGAGTATTGGAATTGCACGCTCTTCTGAGTACCCTGAGATTGAAATGGTCACTACAAGGAAGCTAGAGGTTATGGAAGAGTTTATCAAAGACAAGTCCATCTTAGCACAGAACCAGAAGCCTAATGCAGAAGAAGAGGAGGAGAATGAGGAAGAAGAAGAAGAAGCTAAGGAACCGGAAGAGGATATGAATGCAATCAAGGCATTACCACCACCAGAGGAAATCGAGGAGGAACCAGCTGAAGAAGAGCCAAAGGAAGAAGAGGCAAAAGAAGAAAAAGTTGTGCAAACAGAAGGTGATTTGTTGAATTTAGGAGATGATACAGTGACAAGTGAAGAACGTGGGGACAAATTAGCTTTGGCTCTATTTGATGGAGCTGCAGCAACAACAGGTGCCACACAAGCACTTCCATGGCATGCATTTAATGAGGGTGCAGATTGGGAAACAGCATTGGTACAATCAGCTAGCAACTTAGTGAACCAAAAGCCAGAGTTAGGTGGTGGCTTTGATACGTTGTTGTTGGATGGGATGTATAAACATGCAGAAATGAATGCAACCATGCAAGGACAAGGGTATGGGGTGAGTGGAAGTGCTAGCAGTGTGGCACTTGGTTCAGCTGGAAGGCCTGCAATGCTAGCATTGCCAGCACCACCAGGGAGTGATTCTAGTTCAGGAACTGCTGATCCATTTGCAGCTTCATTGGCTGTGGCACCTCCCTCTTACGTGCAAATGTCAGATATGGAGAAAAAACAAAGGTTGTTAGTTGAAGAACAGTTACTGTGGCAACAATATGCAAGGGATGGCAGGCAAGGACATGTTGCACGCGCAAAGCAACAACCTACTAATAATACCTACGTGGGAGGGTATCCACAGAACAATGGCAATTATTATCGTTAACTAGAACAAATTTTTTCACTCTTTTTCCTTATTCTGAGGGGCGGTGAATTTTATCCAGCTCATTAGAAACACTTGTTTTCAATCTTTATTAAAAATACGGGTGAAAACTGACTTTAGATATTAATAAGGTCTTGCTCACTCACCAAAGTCTAATGGGTATTGTTTTCTTTCTTTGCTCACTTTAACTTGGGAAAGCAAGTAGTCACAAATCAAAAGAAGCCAACAATACTTATCTTCATTAAGCTCTTCATTAAGCCAACAATACTTACCTTCTGCTGAATGTCCTCATCTACGATCTGCCATGATTTTGCATACATTGCACATTGTAGTGACTGGTGAGGTAATCAGTCACACTACTCTGTATCGATATATGCGAAAATTCCCAGCCTCTCAATCTCACAAGACTTCTATGACATAATCAAGGACCCAGTGGATTTTTGCAACCACTATTTGGTATTTTGTTTGCTCCAAATAGGGTGACAGGTTTTATCATGCGCCCCTGACTTGTTTAATAAAACAATTTAAATTTAAGCCTAAAAGTATGTCCATTTAAAAAATCAGATAATAAATTTAATTTTAAAAGTCTATCTATAATTTATTTTAATTGACTGGGTCTATAAAATGCCCGATCTATAAACCTATAAGGCAATTCATATTTATTTAAAATTATATAAAATCTACGTAAATAAGCTAATAGACATGTTAAGATAAACCTGATAGATCAGATAAATAGGCTTAGACATATGGATACATCTATTATTGGTTTGCAAAATATCTTCGAGTCTCATTAGTTATCATTTTTTATTCTTAATTAATATAGTAATGAAATATTAGACATTTTAGGATTGGGGTGTTTGGGAAAAAAATTCACACATCACATTTTACTTTGTTTGATTTTATATTTTTAAGGAAATTTCATCTATTCCAATTAGATCAACCCCATCACAATTGGACTGGATAATTCGCTTAATTTTATTATTATTTTAAAAACTTCAACAATAAGAAATATTTCACTACTTTATAACAATATTGTAGTGCAAATTTATAATAAAAAAATTGAGGATTAAATACAACCATTTGTGTAAATAAATATGACAATCTTTAAATCAAGTTGACATAACATGATAAATTAATATTCAGTTCAACCGGTTTTCGAATTTATAAAATTAACCTGTATAATAATCTAATTAATCGTGTACATTTCATGTCAACCTGAATTACCATCTCTAATTATAAACAAGTCATGTTTGGTTAAATTAAAATTTTAAATAATAATGCAACAAATAATACCTAAGGTATGAACTTGGTGGATGCGGGTACTTTCTCCATCTGTTTGGAATTACAAAATTGTCATTCGCCTTTATTTCTCAACATTCACACACAAACCAGAGGCAAAGCATAGAAACTCTGTGTAAGTTGTTTCAGCTGTCTAAAATAAACTCAAATTCCAGAGTAATTTCACTTCACCGATTTGAAGAAGCCATGACAATTATTCAGAGCGATGACCAATCACTAATCATTTTTGAAACTGCTTTAAACCAAACTCTTTCAAACAAATATGTACGGTAAAGACAGAAATGCAAATATAGGCAGTTTGTGCAGAGGAAGCACAGTTAGATGGTAATATATGTAGCAAATGTATAAGGAGCCTACAACTTTCCAAATGTATTATAGCAATGGATAATTCTAGGTAGCAGAAGCAAATCAAAAAGTGTAAGGAGCCTTTCAGTGCTGCACTCATTAAATCGTGTTCCAAAGCAGCGAGTCAGAAAAACATGTACAAAACGCCCTAGACAACGAGGTAACCAAGAAACATTACAGTTTAAAGGCATAAAGATGAGAATTGCAATCATTCAAGGAATGGAAACAAGTAGTCTATGGTATTATAAATAGTCTTCACTTCTCAAATCACAAAATGTGTCGCAAAAAAATAAAATATAGCTACCAAAAATCCATAGAAAAGCAAAGCATTCCAATATTGCGAAAAACAGAAAAACTGCAAATCATAATTCTCCACTTAGAAAAGAGAGGTTCCTTTCCCCTTCTTGTCGCCACCAATCTCAAAATGCTTGCACCTCTGCACAACAGGTACAGGAACTAACCATTAACACATGCCAAACTACTATGTCAAACCACAAAAATATGTTGTGTTTTCCAGATACTAACCTTGATTGCATGTTGGGAGACATGCTTGCAACCCTGGCATTGCAACCTCAAAACAATTTTCTTGGTGGTTTTTGCCTATTCAATTAAAACAAATTGACAAACAATAAAATTGCAAGAGGATAAAGCCAGAAGAAGGAATGTTTCGGTGCAAGTTTATTTATCCAGATATGAAAAGTGAATAGGCAAAAACCATAAAACAATAAAAGATATGAAAAGAGGATGAAGGTAAAAGGGATACCTTCTTGTGGAAGACAGGCTTAGTCTGTCCACCATAACCGGACTGTTTCCGATCATAACGGCGTTTTCCTTGAGCAGCAATGCTATCTTTACCCTTCTTGTATTGAGTAACCTTGTGCAAAGTGTGCTTCTTGCACTCCTTACTCTTGCAGTATGTCTTCTTTGTCTTTGGAACGTTCACCTACCAACAACAACAACAACAATAACAACAGCAAAAGATTAAGTCTTTTAACATTTTTCAGCATACTAAAAAATACCCAACAACATCCAATAATACAATTCAAGACAAATTTCTCAATTTCAACTCTAATTCACCTGCAAATCAATTAAACCCCCAAAAATTAAAATAAAATCGTTTAGGGCAGAAGAAAATAGCAGTGTTATCGATTCCTGATAAATAATAAGGGAAGCGATGAGAAGGTTACCATGATGGCGGCGCGTGAGATCGGAATCCGAAGAGCGTTGTGTTGTGCGCCGCGAAAATGAGAGTGACGAATAATGCCCTGAGTTTTTATTGCTTTGGGAATTAGGGTTCCATGGAGGTGGTGAGAAATGAGAATATATTAGCTGGACTGGGCTGGTCGGGTCTATTTTCTTATTGGGCTGATCCCAGTAAGACCCTGACCCAACGCCCGTTACCCACTCTATCAAGATTAGATCCTCACAATTTTTTTTTTATTGGTAAACTCTTTTTTTCAATCCTGAAAATGTTAATATTAATAGATAGATTATGCACAGTAAAAGGCATAGCGGATCATCCCGGCATTTTTCAAGCTTGAAAACCTGGGCTAAAAGATATTTCCCTTTACCTAATTTTCTAATTCATTTGCAGTTTTAAATCATAAGTTTTACATTTGATTTTAATTAATTAATATTACATAACAATGTTCTTTTTTTATTATTTGGCATAAGACTTGATTTTAATTAAGTGTTTTCCTCTCTTTTCTTAAGAATTATTTGATGAAAAGTTCATAAATAAATAATTATATATTTTATGCGAAACAGTAAAATAAAAACAAGCCAAGGGCCTGAAGAAAAAAGGATGCAAATATGTCAACAATAATTGAAAATATTAGTAAGGATAAATCATGTTAAGTAGGTTAGTTGAGATTTAAGGGCCGCTCCGATTAACTTTAGAAAAAAATAATTATGCATTGCTTTTTTTAGAATAATTTTTAAAAAATAAATAAATCTACTTTACGTTTGGATGTAGTATTCGAATATAACTTTTTAATTAAAAAATTATTTGAATATTAAAAATTGAAAGCACTTTTTATGTGTAAAATAACTAAAAAAGTCATATAAAACAAATGGTTCATTTTTCTGCAGTCAATGTAGATAACTTATCTACATTAAGTCCTAGACGACGTCGTTTTGAAACGAAAATTAATGTATTTTTGTAATTATAATTTATTTCAGTATTATAATAGTCTTTCTCATTATAATTTTTTAATTTTTCAACCTAAAACGACGTCATTTTGAAAGTGAATATAAATAATTTATCTACATTCACTGTAGAAACATTAAAGCCTAAAACAAATCATGAAAACAAGTTTTGAAGTTGTGGCAATAATAATAATAATAATAGTAAGGTTTTGGGGAGGTGGGAGCAGCGACACTATGGTAGCAGAGGTAATAATGGTGACAAAGAGGTGATGATAACTAACGAGGTTGGTTAAAGATGGAATTGGACATATTTAGGTTTTGAAAAAAATATTTAATTTTTTAATTTACTTTTTTAGAAGGCAAAAATTTCACCTTAAAAAAAAGCAAGATTTTGAAAAAACAATTGTGACTTTTGCTTTTTTTATAAAATAAAATAAAAATTGACATCCAAACACTTATTTAAAGTTAGAAGCACTTTTAAAAACAAATAAAAAAATAAAGAAAAAAATGAAGAAAATAAAAATTGAAAATTATTAAAATTACAATGCCAAAAAAGTATATTACTTGAAGGAATATTTCAGTGCAAGTTTATTTATCCTAAGATACGTAAGCGAATCTTGAAATTCTAAATATTTGAATAAAATCCACCTATGTATCCTAAAATAAATAAATTATCGATGCACTGAATTTCAATACAGTAGTAACACGGAAGATTCTTCCGTTTGCCACACTTTTCTGTAACATTCTACTTATTATTGGATGAAATTCCATCTATGCAAATAACATAAAAACAATTTCTATGGGAACAATATTTTACCCAATAATAATAATAAAATATAAAAAAAAAATGTGTTGCTAACATAAAAACAGATACTTGTGAGGCATGCACACAGTATCGTTTTAAAAAGAAGTTGAATCGGTCACAAATTATGCAATAGGTGAATATAGCTCGTTCTGGGATCTAAACTCCCTTCAGGTCGAAAACAAATGATATACATATAGCCCTCTCCCTTCATAATTTACCAATAATTGAGCATACGTCCTATCTCTAAAATATGCTAACTTGCTTTCACTATGACACCCCATGCCAATGGTAAATTCACACTCTAAAATTATAAATCATTCAAAAAAGTAGTTATAGTGCTGTTACTAATAACTCGTGAAAACATGCTCATGCATCATTGAGGGGTGGAAGTATAAATTTGTTCAAGCTATTACTCTACTTATGAAGACTGCATTTCTATAAGGCGTATCATATTCCAGATTGCTCCATACAGATCAAACAGTGGATAGTTCTAACATGGAGTAGCCAGAGTACCGCCTTTGAATGAGGTTGTAAAATGTGTACTTTACAAATTCGGAAAACATCAGCCATGAATAGCCAACCATGTCATGGTTTGAGTAAAATAGTACACATTTTCAACATTTCAAAACCCAATATCAAGACGATTTCTTCGTGGAGACGCCCAATCTCATCCCTACGGAAACCAAGGTCTCCAGTGATCTGGTGCTATTTGCTAGAAGATCTTCATCTATTGCAATTGAATTCTGCAGAGAACAAAAAAAAAAGGATGTCACTGTGAACATATATATTCCAAAGATTAACATGAGAAACGATCCACCTCAATAGAAAGCTAAAACCTCAGACAAAAGCTAAAGTTATAAAAATAGCAATAAATTGAACTAATTTACTTAAAAAATGTTACTCTTGTTGAACATTAGTTGTATATTTGCATCAATCATAACTAAAAGCAATAATGCACTAAAGTAGTGCCGTTTTCTCAATTATATTTGTCAAAATTTAATACAGATTATGTTTTAGAAATGTTTTACAATTGATACCAACAGAAATAATTATTAAGCATTAACTGGCTCTAAACGCAAACATATTTTCAGCCACTAAAACTGAATTGAAGAGCAAGAAAGAGATTTCTCTAACTCTCCATCCACATTTCCTGTTAGGTTTAATATGTTTTCTTGTTTAATTTTTGTCAGTTGACCTATTCAGAGGATCATAAATAGTTCATACTTAGACTCAAGACAAAGATTTTAATTATATTGGATCAAGGCTTCTTTTACCTTTCACTAATAGTTTTTCTTCAATGTATCAAAAAAAAATAATAATAGTTTTTCTTCAAATAACAATGTCATGAATCAACATCATTTCTACATCCACCAGCTAACGAATGACCTATGAAATACACATATTTTCAATGAGTTTAAAGAAGAGAGATTCTTTATAAGCTTAAAAAGTAAAATATATTAATTTAGTCATTTGGAATGAACTATTGGTGCCCCATAAACAGATCATACCAAATACCAAAACTATAAATTAAGATCAGTAAAATCAGCAATCAGGACCATATCCAACTAAATAAATTTCAAACATAAAAGAATAATAAAAAAGAAGTAATTAAAAATAAAAACAAGATAAGCAGTATAATCTATAATAATCCCAACCTTTTCAAAAACACAAATTACAGTGCTTCCACCAAATGAGAAATATCCAAACTGTAAATTAAGCAAACAAACGCCAATTAGAAACAAAGACAACATACAAAATTGGAAAAAACGGTAATCAACTGTAACTTGCCAGACCTCATCGCCCTTCTTGACATGGTCACCCTTTTGCTTTGTAAAAGTAATGCTACCAACCATTGTAGCTCCTATTGCAACAAATGCCACCTGAACCCAAATCATAGGTAACTCTCTAAGATACAGGTAAAATACAGGTCTGTAGCTATGACATAAAATTATAGTGGAGCCAGTGAAATTATAGGAAACTCTGTAAAAACATTTCAGGAACATTACAACCCTTCAAAATTATAGCAAGAGATACAAAAGCATAAGTCAAAAATAAAATGCGTAGATGGATTATACGCTTTTAATTACAATGACGAACCTTTCCAAAATTTACAGTTGAAATCATTGAAACAACTCGCTTATTCTCCGTGAAGACATTACAGTACTTGCTATTTACAGCAATGGGATTGACCTATGCGGAGTAGAACACAACAGAAAAAAAAATTGCAAATGAGAATTACCACAAAGAAAATAGACCCGATATATACAAATGAAATATCATTTTCCTAAATTTATTATTTCACTTACTGTATATAAACATCCAGGGATATTTACAAATTGCTCAATGATTCCTGATACTGGAAAATGGAAACGGTGATAATCCTGCAACAAATGAATGTTCAAATCAAAATTTGCAATCAAATTTGTTGAAAGAATAGAGATTTAGGCAGGAAAGGAAAAAAAAGAGTGAAAAAAAATTGAATAATCTGAAATCAATATTGATTTGATATGAAGGAAGTGTGGCGATCCCTATTTATACTAAGGGAAAAGTGTGTGTCATTTTAAAGGATGTAAAGTTGTGTCATTTGAAGTGAGAGAAAGAGATAAATAAAGGAGGAGAGAGAGTGGAACAGAAAAAATAAAGATGTGGGTCCTACCTCTTTGTGAGAGTAAAATGATATAAGTTATGTTATTTAAAAGGACAAACATTTTTTCCTTATACTAATATTAGACTTCAAATGCTAATAAAATAAAGAAACAAATCATGAAATGTAAAGAAATTAGGAAGTTATTCTTAAGAGATTATCTAAGATACTCTAAACTATCATAAGAAACAATCAAAATATTAAGAGATATTTTTCATATATTCTAACAAAATTACATATAAAATTAAAGTGACTTTGAAAGAAAGCAACAAATACCTGTGGTGCCAAACGGAAAATCACCATTGTTCCATCAACAAAAGCACTTGAACACATTTCATTCCCCAAAAGACCTTGAATTGAAAACTTTCGACCCTAAAAGTAACCACAAATAATTCCAAAAGCACTTCATTTGGCATACATAAATAAAGTTGAAAAGATTAAAGGACAAGAGAACGAGAAACATTCCAATTTCTAGGGTAATCAAATTTTCCATGCCTCAATCTAGCACCAATTTCAATAATTAGCTTTGCTTAATATTATAAAATAACCTCTTGAAAATGAAAGAGATGAAAGACACACACACACATATATATATGTCATAGAAAACACTGGATATAATAGTAGTTACGGTCTTTCAATCATTAAAAATTGAATAAGCAACTAAATCGTTTCATATGTTACATCTCAAGCTTGATTTCATGCAAAACAGGAGAATAAGACAAAAACTATCCTCGGATCATTTCCTCCCTCACACCTCTGTCCTAACTCACTCGTGAGTCAAGCAGGTCCAAGTTCATGACCAAAATCATAATTTTATCATTTTCAATTAATTCCAAGCTGAAAAACTTTGTACCATATCAGATTTCAACAATTGATTACCAGCTTCTGACTGATAAATGTCTTTAGTGCAGATTCTCAAATGTGAATATCTAACTATTCAAAAGAAAATGCATTCTTGAGAACAGAAACCTTCGATGTGCCAGAGATGTAAAATATAAAAAAAAAATACCTTAATCCAAAATCTTGAACAATCATCAACTGATTTAAATGCCATTAAACGGCAATCAGCAGCACATACAGCTACGTCATCACGTTCAGCAAATGCAATTGGTCTTGAACCAGGCTTTAACTCTCTAATGAAAAATTCATTGAATGTCTGCCAGAACAAAATTTAAGATAGGTATCATCGAAGAAGATATATACTACCATTATGAAGTCCAACATAATTTTCAGTATGAGCATTGCTCAGACGTTTTGTTCATCTTCACTCCAACTACTTGTACAAACAAAACTGTGTTACTAGCTCAATGGAAAACAAGTTCCTTCAGTTCCCCGTATAGATCAAGTTCTACTGGGTGGGATCAATAGAGAATATATATTAAACAAGAAGGAAGTAGGAATTCTATGATAACATAATCTAATTGAAACCAAGACATAATTCAAGTGGTCAGGGTGGAGTAAAGTTTGCGGCATATATATAACAAAATGCATGCATATGCATGGAAACTGAAAAAGTATTCAAATTGTTGGAGTCACGGCTGGCTGGACAAAGCTAAAACGAAACAAGTTAAGCTACTTAAGCAATAGTCAATTAGAAATGCTGGAAAAAATAAAGGTCCCACAAAAGCACATGGATCATGGCTAAAAGATTTCAAAAACAACTTGAGTAGGTAATACAAACAGTACTATATTGTAATTGTAAAACATACCGTATCCAGAATGAAGGCCATTGACAACAGGATGTTTGTATGTCAAAGGAATGAAGGTCATAATATTATTTTAAAAAACAGGAACTAAATGAGATATGTTGTTGGGTAAGAATAGACTATCTTAAGGAAACACAGGAGGAAAGTAAAATATTGGCAGCATATAGTTTAACTATATTAAAATTGGGAAAAGTACTTCTTATGTGACTGCAAAAGAAAAAAAGTGCAGCAACACAGGATACGCGTCCGAATCCTGGTTTTTTTTTTTTTTTTTTTGATAGAATCCGCACGTGTATCCTAGGATCCGCACGTGTATCCTAGTGTTAAAAATTTGCTGCAACTTTTCTCATCAGCAGACATGAGAAGCGACGGACCCATTAAAATTAAGATGCAAGACTTTATGCATATGATGAAACATATCTTAAGCATAATCAAATTGAACCTGCAAAGCATTATAAATAACTAAAAGGACCAAAAAGTGTTTGTGTGTGAATCAATAACATATAAATTCAAACTCTTCACAAAGTTTTAGCCCACCTTGAAGTGTTCCAGAGGATACTTGACCTCAGCCAAATTGATTTGACCCTACAACACAATAATCACAACTTTTATAAGGAGCGTTTAAATATAGGGACAAATGTCCAGCACATAAAGAGCTAAAGTAAAAAATGGTAATAGATGTGCTCTGGAAAAAATGGCACCCTACACCATTTTACAGAATAACTATCTTAAATCTTCAAATTCTTCACTTTTCTTCAGTTTGAAATTGGATACACACACAGACACGTCCAGTTACTAATGTGACGTTATTAAAATGTCAAGAACTGAAACTCAAGCAAAGTATAAAAATAATTAACACAATCAGCAAACACATCAATATTGTGAGAATACTGAAAAAGGGTTTCACCTAATTGTATTCCAATAAAGAGAGGTTACAAGCATATATACACACCTTCTGTGTTTGGAAAAGGAAATAAAATAACAAAAGGAAACTAATCAATCCTAATTAAAAAGGAAATAAACTAAGCCTAATTGATTGAATCCCATGAATTAGGAATTTGACAGAATCTCTCTTAATATATATGGTAATAATCTTCCGATTTCCTACAAATATAAAGCAAGATAGCTCACACACACATATGATTGTCTAGTGTTGGTGGTGCTTGTATGTTCAAACAGAATGATGTCATTTCCTATTGTATTGCCAGTTGTGATGTACTCTGCCGGATGATGCTTTATCATTCAACATTTCATATCATGCTTATGGCAAGAGTGGCTCTTATGGCTTGCCAATAAAAGATGTTAAGCATGAATATTGTCGTGGTTTGGACACTGCTACTAGCTGGTCTTAAGTCTTAACTCAAGTATGTAAAGGAAAGCAATACCCTTCTGCTTTAAATACAGAATAATCTTAGTATCTCACAAGATCAAAATAAGTTCCTGCAAAGCCTGTGTACTTGGGCTGCTTTAGTTCCTCTTATCATCCATTTGCTTAATTAAAAGGTCAGTGCTTTCTAAGTTTTTTGCATTCTAGGGACGTGATGTTGTGGATTTGGTACTTCAATATTCCTTTCTTATTATTGTCATTATTTTTCTACTTGGCCCTGAGTCCCTTTACTTCCCTTGTAAAAGATCCCCGTTAATTATTCAAAAACTATGTATAATGTTAACATGTAAATTACAGAAGCAATCACAGATAAGATGAGTAATTTGTGGGTATGAAGTAAAGTAGTTACTGAGGGAAGTCCATTAAACACATATATAATGCATATATGCATTTTTGTATGGAAAAAGAAATATTATAAGTTAAGATGGGGAAAATACAAGAGAGGATAAGATATCCTCCAAAAGAAACCACAATGCTGAAACAAGGGGCACCATGACGAAGTGAAACTCTGGTTGAAACTCACAATCAAGGGGCACTACATAACTTCAAACTTACGTTTTCCTATGACAAGTCAAAATCAAATTGTGCTGCCCACGAAGTCACTAACAACTAAAAGATGCATTTTTGTACCTCAAAAGATTCAACAAATTTCAGTATATCTGCAGACGATTCAGGTGAATCCATTCGTGCTCCCTGCTTTTCAGAAATGCTTTGCAACAGCTCCTTCACTCCTGCATATAAGAGGTTCACCAATGTGAAATAAATGAATAAAGTAACTCAACACATGAGGAAAGCTTACTCAATTATTATTTGAATCTCATATTGACTTCAAAACTGAGATCTCAAGTAAGCGTGACCCAAGTGCCTGACGGATGCTTTATGATAAATATTTTTCTTTAAAACTAAATACACTTTCCATAATTCCTAATCTACTAATAATGCACCAAGTCGGCTTAAAAGAAATATTAGCAAGATGTAACATATCTATGCAGTAATTTTTAACCAGCAATATTTTTATTGCATAAGTTCTACTAACAACACCACCTCGGCAATCCTATGCCACAAGGCCCACAACAAAGAGTGGTGACTGATGAAGTTACATTTAGATGCAGCTTAGAACTTATTTGAACCAAAAAAAAAAAAAGCATACCTACGTCCATTAGGCCAAGACCTATTTTTGACTGATAAATAGCTCTCATCGATAAAACAATCTTTTTGTCAATTAGTTCTTCGACAAGCCTTTGAGACTTCCGATCATATACCTGATGTCAAAATAAATTAAGGTGAATAAACATTTGAGAGGGTAAAGATGCAAACATAGGATTAAGAATACCAGTATTATAGTATGGTTCTTCCAATTTCATCAAGTTCTCTTAAGGATATCTCTAATTCTCAACTTTGATGAAGCGGTTGATCCAACACAATGCAAATTCTCATGATTTTAAAAAATAGTATGCATAACAAATGCTGATACTTGATAATAGCATGAAAAGAGAGCCATGATGATATATGTAAGCATATAAGCTTGGAATCCTCTTTTCTAATTATGGTGGATGTAATTAGGAAAACACAGTCATTAGCAATGGAAAGAAGGAATTTCAAAGAGGTCATGTAGATACTAATACAACTCGAAACATACATACATACATGTATGATGTAGCATATAAATGTCCTCAGATTGTTATAGAAAAATAGGAAATCGGTATGGAAAATAAGGCATACCAGAATATGGGAAGCACTTGATCCAGATCGAATACCAACATCATAGGATGAGAAATGGGCCCATTCACTCAATTTGAAGAACCACCTACATAAAAAGAAAATTAAATAAGTGATTTTATATTTTATCATGATTTACAATCACAAATACATAAGCATGGTCCATATATATGACACTAAAAAGCTGTAATATAATCCATTAGGTCAATAAAGATCATGCTCTCTCTTTTACCCTGGCTTTCAATGCTTCAATTAGCAATAATTTGCAGAAATTTACCCATACGAAGCTTCCTTATCTGTTAAGAATCCTCCAGTCATCACCTGATTTCCAGTCCCTTCGTCAAAACAAAGAGTTAAGTGGATCATGCTGTTCAACTGGTCAGAAATCTGAAGAACCTCACCACAAACAGGACAGCAATTCATTAACGGTTCCCTGCAATACCAGAAGCTTAGCTAAGCAAATTAGAATCAAACAACAGTTTGAAAAAAGAAATTCCTACTTGTAGTCTTTCTTACTATATTCAGAGTACGTCAAACACATTCATTGTTATAACTCATCAAATCTTAAAACAAGATACAGCTATACAAATGAAAAAAATAAATATATCTGTACTGATGGCAAAGACAACAATATGCATACAAAATAAAAGCTTTTAGTCTCTGTATTACTTTTCTTGTTGAAAAGCAAGAAGGGCAGCCAACTCATCCATGCTCACAACACCATCTCCATTCTTGTCAGCTGCTTTGAACAGCTCCTCTTTCTATTGAAAAAGAAATTGCATTGCTGAGACAGTAAAGCTTGTAAGTACAAAACTAGACATCATATTGTAACTTCATTTCATGATTCAAACCAACAAAGTGAAGATTTGGAGTTATAGATATAACCAAAAAGCCAATTTTCATCGTCCAAATTCAAGAAAAGTTCTAACATTTAAGATGTTAGTAGTTTTTATAAACCATAGAATCTGAAAAAAGAAGATCAGAAAATCTGAATCAAAGTCCAAATCCAAATCCAGGTGTACAAGCAAAGTAAAGATTATTTAGCAAGCAAATAATTCAGAACTAAAAAGTAATAGGAAAATATAAGATGCAAATAACCACTCATGTCTGAACCTTGCTGGTTGCTACTTGATTGCCAAAAGCATCAATTAGGTCAGAAAATTCAGAAAGTGAAAGCGTTCCATCTTCATTGTAGTCCTGCATAAACATAACTTTTCAGGTTGATATTAAATATTAGAAGGCATTAAATGTGATCAGTATATTTAAATTATCAAGAAACTAACGTATTCCATATTGCACTTTCTATGGCTTACAGATTTCAAATATTCTTCCATGTATTCAACTTATATAGACTTCCTTTCAACTTTAAGGAGCCTCCAATAAAGAAAAGGAGACAGCAGGAGTAAACATGAATAATCGTTCATAAATATCTACTAGCAATTTGTACAACATTTTGCAAAGGTGTGCTAATATCAGAACAAAGTCTCAGCAACAATCCTTGGTACAACATTGGTTTAAGATCAGTACCCATATGTAAAGGGATGAGATTATACATCACTTCTTGTGTAACCCTCTTATGTCTTTTATTTAAGCCCACACTAGGCACATGTTATCAGAAAACAGAGGAAGGTCAAACTTACCACTATAGATAAAATGCGTCTGACAAAGCTTTTCTCCATTTCAATAGGATCCTGTTAGATTTTCCTTATAATTGTTAGAAATTGTTATCATACTTAAGACAACAATAAAATTTATATTGTATGCTCCATACCTCTACCGAGCATGAAATGGAAATGTTGCCAACCACTTCTCCAGGCATTGATGGATCTAAAAGGTCGAATATCTCAATGTCAGAATCAGAATCCTGCACCACCAACTCATTCACAACAAAAGTGTTTAAAATGAATAATGCTTAAAGGGCATAGATAAATCTGATAACTGAGCAATTGTAACATATGATTTAAAAAATAAATAAATAATAATAGTTTGCTCACCTGGGTCAGAAATTCAAACAGATCAACCTCACAGTATCCAACAAGAGTATTGCTGGACAGTTTGTTGGTCTACATAAGAAAAACTATTAAACTTAGATGCAGTATTAAACTTAATTACAAAAAATTGGGGGATGAGGGGCACAAAATCAAAACAGTTTAACAATTTTAATTTGTATAATATATGCAGCTTTTTTTTCCCTTTAAGAACATAGAGAATGACAAAAAACCCTGCTCTTGAAATGCAGCAGTGATATACCCCAAACAAGCACCATAGCATAGGATTTCAAGCTTTACTTTGTGTTTGCAGAAAGGCATTGAATCAATTTAGTCTGAAAAAAGTGACATCTCCCCCCACCCCCCAACCCCAAAAATAATAATAATAATAATAATATAATAATTAATCAAAATAAAAATAAAAAATGCTTAATTCAGGGTAATGCATAATCAAAGAAAGGAATAAAAGGTTCTTATAGCACACCTCGAAGACAGAAATTCTTGCAACATGAGGCCCGTTCTGTTCCAAAAGAAGTTTCTTTTCCTATGGAAGAATACATCAATGACATAGGAGAAACACTGTCCAATTTATGGGATCCACAAGTCATGAAGAAATATGAAAATGAAAATCATGAAATATTGAAGATAAAATTGAGTAACCTTAACCTAAGATCACATCAAATCATTTTTTGTTTCGTTAGAAAATTGATTCTAAGAGCTGCTCCTTAACAAGTTCCATATGAAATTTAAGTTCTCACATTAAAAGAATGGGTTAATATTTTCTCATAGTTACTTGAGAAAATATTTTTCTCCTACACAAACAAATCGAAAGTGGAGCCCATTCTATACTTTTTCTCTCTCCTCTATTCTCTCTCCTCTACTTTGTGTGTGTAGGAGATTAATCTTTTCTCCTCTAACATTCGTAGATCTTTAAAAATGATTTCAAGTCATCAAAATATCTTGAATTATCTCCCTGAAGTCAAAACAACCACGCATAACTATACACTAAATCATGCGTGCAGAAGTGTTCTGTCCCAAAAACACTGTTTTGAAGTTCCAATTACTCAAACAGTTTTTAAGTTCCAATTACTCAAGCAGTTTTTAAGTACCTGTAGTGCCAGCATTCAAGGTAGTTAAAATCGAGTTTTAACCTAAAAACGGAATGGGGATAAAAAATCGTAAAATATAGAATCGTAATAAAAAAATGGTAAAGAATGTAAAAAATTAAAACCACTTGGAATGTTGATAAAAACGTTTTGATGGGGAAAAAATGGTAAAAGCGCAGTTTTATATTAACTACCATGCAAGTATTCCTAAACCTCCTTTTAATTAAGCGTATAAATAAGAAAACAACATTTAAAACCGTGAATTTGCATGAGTCATAATGAAATCGGGAACAAAAAGGATGACATAGCTTAGAGCACTCACGGAATTCCAAACTGGTTTGTCTGTCCTGCACCACCAACAACACAAAATCAATACATTAACGACTAACTAATTGAAAAATAAATAAAAACACTTCAATATATGTATATATGATATAACATAGATCATCCTATTTGTTATTTTTTGATAGAATGAACAATGATCGATAGTGGTAAAATGATAATAACAAGTTGAAGGCTTAACTGGTCAGAGGTCTTTGTGCGGAAAGTCTGTTCTCCAAGAGAAAGGCATGCGATCCATTTATCCTTGAACTTCATCTCCGCCTACAAGACAATCACGTTCTATTAATTTACAAAAAAATAAAAAAATAAAAAAATTAATATGGCGAAACTGAAAAGCAGCGTAAGAGAGAGAGAGAGAGAATCAGCGTACGCACGCGAAGGAGTGTGAGGAGAGCAATTCCGGCGAAGTTATCAGCGGAGAGAGGTTTGCGAGCTGAAGCGGAAGAGGAAGAGGAAGCAGAGCCGTTACCGGTTTTGCGGTGAAGATAATGGCCAAGGCGAAGACGCTCTTTGAACCGAGCACGACGCGATCTTTTCGGTTCTGAAGAAGACAATTTGGAGTGTTCATGACCCATCCTCACTCACCGATGCGACTTGACTCGACTGAGACACGCACACTCTCTGTATTTCCGCAGAGGGAAGAAGCAGAAGTTGAATATACTGTTGAGTTAACTCGCCACTCGGGGGGTCAAAAGTGGTAAGCGCGTGCTGCCGCTGACAAAAACAAAACTCCTTTTTGGTTCCCAAAATTCGAGTATCCATTCAGGAGAGGACACGGTTGAATCTCACGTTCTCAATTTTGTTTTTTGTCCTAGTGATTCCATCGGGTGTTTTTAAACTCGGATAGGTCACTCACTCCAAGTACTCAGTCAGTGGCTCATTAATTCAATTGAATTTAATCAGATTTATTTTTCACATATTAAAAAAAATATAAATATATGACTTATATTAAAATTTTATATAAAAAATTATCAATGAGCTTCAAAAAATAATTTGATTTCAATCATAGTAAATATTATATGTTTCTAGGCTTTTAGTTTTAGACCATATCCTAACATTGAACATTGGATTAAAATTGGAATGTAAGCTAAATGCATCTTTCGTGCCTTGACATAACACAGATAAACTAAATCACGATAACAAATTGTAGGCATGAACACTAAGAACAAAGTGTCCACTATTGAGATGAGACCACCAGTTTTATCCCCTTAACTTTTTGAAATCATTATAAGATGCAACTAAATTACATAAACAAACTATACTAATCTAAAATATTTTCTTGTTTTTATCTTACTTTTTAATCATATTTACCACAAAATATGAATATGATTTAATCCAAGAGTTCTCAACAACAACAACAACAACAAAAAAGAGTCAACTGGGTCACCGAGTCTCGGTCAGGTCAACCGATCCAAACCGAGTTAACTGCAGAATCAATCCAAATAGCCGCTCATACCAAAGAACCCAGCCGATTCGAACCGATTTTTAAAACATTGAGGTGTTTGGTAGAGGAGAAATTTTTTTCTATCCGAAAATCTCGATTTTCAGAAATATGATGAAAACATTCAGTTTACGATAATATTTGAAAATTAAAAATTTAGAAAAATTCAGTTTCCCGAAAATTCTACAAAAGCAATCGATGATGCCAAATGGGTGCCGATCTCAAAACACTTTATTTTATAACGTAAGAAATATGATGAAGGTTATATTTACAACCTTTTTTTTTTACAATCTCTTACAACCATATCTTAACACCGTTGATTTTCGTCAATCAATGGTTATCATTTTCGCAAATTAAACTCATTAATTAATTATTAATTCCCAATAAATAATAACCGTTGATTGGCGAAAATCAATTGTGTTAAGATATGATTGTAAGAGGTTGTAAAAAAAATTGTAAGTATAACCTTCCTCAAGAAATATATAGACTTATTTAGGGTATATGATAACTTTTTATTTGATATATATATATATATATATATATATATATATATATATATATATATATATAGAGGTAGGATCCTTTGACATCAGTGTCAAATTTTAAATTTGACACCGCATCTGAGAGCCGTTAGATTAAAAAGATCAATGGTGTCACATGCTTAAAAATCAGAGTCGTTGATCTTTTTTGATCTAACGGCTCTCAGATGAGGTGTCAAATTTGAAATTTGACACTGGTATCAAAGGATCCTGCCTCATATATATATATATATATATATATATATATATATATAAGTATGTGTGATCTAAAATTATGTGAGGAGAAGAGAAAGAAATAAAAATTATGAGCTTCATATATTTTTTTATATATATAGGAGATTATTTTATCTCCTACAATATTAGATATATTAAGTTTTTTTTTTTCATCACAAACTAAAATTCATTCATAAATAGTTACTCTATTATTACAGTTATTAAATGTCATTCTGGAAGTGTCTCCCGAGGAGATTAGGTATATTTTTCTTCACAGGGAAGTATCTTAAATACCATAGTATGCATTAAAAAATCTATGAAGGAGAGATATTGTAAGCGGCATAACTTTATATGTTAGTAGAATAATAATTCCTGAAATGTTAAATGCATTATGCCTATCCAATTGCTGGAGAGAATATATATATGACTTAGAAAAGAGAGTAATAATCGTTTTACCTAATGATCATGCTCTAATTAGGGGGCGTTTGGTTGACGGTTTCTCAAAATTTTGATGGGCATCTGAAAGTGGGTAAGTTGATTATCCACGTTTGGTACAGGTGATCTAAAAATTTGCATACCTATGTGATTTGCCTAGCAATTCAGTTTTGTATGCAAAATAGGACCAAAATCACAGCGCTGAAATCCTCTTTGAATGGTGGTATTCGACCGATAACCAGGCAAGTGAAAACCATGACAACGGGTGCTGCCAAAACTACCCTTGGTTAGCGCCAAAGTGAGTCTCCTCCCAGCAAATCCACTTTTGGACATCATGGAGAAGCTCGTTTGAAGATCTACTCAAAGGCTGACCAGATTGGGTTTCATAGCAACTTCTGTCTGATTTTTGCATGCTTATCTACTCAAAGATCTGCTTGCTTTTGATATTTTTTATTTCAGAAAAATCATGGAGAAAAAGAAACCCATCCGACAAGCGCGGGTAGTGGAACCAGAACACCGTCGTGAACAGAGGAAAAAAAAGGTTTGTTTTGTTATATTGGGGTTTAGCTATGAATGTTATGTTAGTTGCGAAGCGAATTCATCAGTTCTTCCTCAAGCATTAAGTTCATTTCAGTGTTCTGTAAATTCATGCTTATGTGGCAAAGCATATTTATGGTTGTCCATAGTTGATTTGTTCTTTCCCAGTTTCCCTTGTATACTCATGACTCAGTCTGTGTTGCTAAAATATACCTGATGGCTTGTACAACTTCTACACATTTAAACCAAACATATACATTAGTTGCTGCAAATGATGTGCTGCTAGATTCTTCAGTTATGAAGTACAGCCCCACATATTGCCAGAAACCAGAAGTTTTAAACAAGAACTTGATAGAGGGCAATATTCTTCTTTGTGGTTATTCTTTCAACTTTGTTGTTGGTACTTCATCAATCAAGAAAGTCTCAGAAACAGCAAAGGCCCTTGGTGCAGTTGGATTTGTTCTTTGTGTTGAAAACGTTTCCCCCGGAACACAATTTGATCCAGTTCCTGTTGGCCTTCCTAGGATTCTTATCACAGATGTCAGCAATTCGAAGGTACTCATACTCATCTTTGCTGGTATGTTTATGTAGAGGTAGATTGAGTATCACGACTGCTAAATCTGTTTTCTCTTAGTCCATAACTCATTCCACATCAGCTACTCATCTCAGCTATACCATTGTTTTCATCTCTCCTTCTACTTTTTTCATCAATAGATGCACTATTGATCAAGTACAAATCGTTACTTTTTCAGGAACTTATAGATTATTATAATATCTCTACACCAAGAGACTGGACTGGACGGGTGAAGAGTTTCAAAGGTACAGGTAAAATTGGCGATGATTTGATGCCTATTATACATAAATCTGCAACACATGTGGCATTATTCTCTGCTCGAGGGAAGAATATAAAGGACTTCAGCTTCCAAGAGGCGGATCTTCTCAAACCAGATATATTAGCCCCTGGTTCTTTGATTTGGGCTGCTTGGTGTCCAAATGGAACTGATGAGCCAAATTATGTCGGTAAGTAATGGCTTGACTAAGTTGTGTCTTCTTTGCTTTTGGTATTTGAAAAATTCAACCTACAATTATACATTTCAGCCTCACCACCCGGGCTTTAGCTCATATGGATGGTGAGATATGGGGTTTTAGGCATGGTAGATCTGAGGGTCAATTCCAATTTTTCCCCAAAAAATAAATCTTTGAAACTTCAAAATTGTTCATAGGAGCAAGTGGTTGGCTGGATGATATGCTGCATTGCTGCTTTAAACATGATTTTTTTTTTCTTTTGTTTATCTTGACATACAACTACACGAGAAATTCATTGATATAAGAGACAAGATAACCAACTAGACATGAGAACTCCTCCTAGCAGAAAAAATAGAACACATAAATTGTATACAAAAAAGCTGTCAAACTAATATGCTCTAACTAAGAATATTTGATGTTAAGGGTTTCTTTTTAATGATCATAAGCGACAAGCTTTATTATAGGTAAGGTATAATGGAGATATGATAACTGCATTGCTTTGTTCTTTCTTCTGAGAGTTAAGTTCTAATTAGTGTAAACGACATCACTTTATTATGAACATGGAATTCTCCTTCTCATTTTTATATCTATTTATTTTTCTCTTTTCATGATAAACTGATTTATCTTTGAGCTTGAACCTTAATTGGATTGTTTAGGCAACAAGAAATTTTTTACACACAATAATCTTGGAATGAGATGTGTCATAATAACTCCATCCATTGCTTTCAGATTGAAGGTATAGTAAGTTTTCAAGTGGGAGTGATTATTGGTTGATCCCTTCCCCAAGTTTGTATAATCCAATTGATTATGTGCCACAGTCAATTGAATATGCCCTTCAAAAGGCTGGTCTCCCTGCATCTAGCATTGACTGGTTACTTCTCCATCAGGTACACAAATTGATCTATAAAATAAAACTTTGGCATGTCATCTAATATACATATATATATATATATATATATATATATATATATATATATATATATATATATATATATATATATATATATATATATATATATATATATATATATATATATATATATATATATATATATATATATATATATATATATATATATATATATATATATATATATATATATATATATATATATATATATATATATATATATATATATATATATATATATATATATATATATATATATATATATATATATATATATATATATATATATATATATATATATATATATATATATATATATATATATATATATATATATATATATATATATATATATATATATATATATATATATATATATATATATATATATATATATATATATATATATATATATATATATATATATATATATATATATATATATATATATATATATATATATATATATATATATATATATATATATATATATATATATATATATATATATATATAACCCGGGAATGTATGCCTGGGAGTATTACTGATGAATGAACCAAATCTTTCATCTGTTGTCTTCGTAGCATAACTGTTGCTTATAAAAATGTGATTATAATTTAAGGGATAAGTGGCTATTAGTTTGAAATTAATTTGTACTTTTGTTTTCATGAAAAAAGAATGGGAAATATAAATTAAAAGGGTGGAGAAACCTGATCTATTATCCAACGATTCAATAGCTGCACGTGGGTTATAGTATCACTTTGCTAAGTGGTAAGATCTAATTTTATAATTGAAAATAAAGTAAATTTGAGTAAACTTGGTAATTGCATAGCATACATGATAATATCTTTACTTGGGAGAAAGGAAGGTTATATAGACTTGATTTTAAGTGCAGGCAAACCAGAGGATTTTTGATGCAGTTGCCACACGGTTAGAAGTGCCATCAGAAAGGAAGATATCAAATTTGGCTAATTATGGAAACACAAGTGCAGCTTCAATTCCCTTAGCTTTAGATGAAGCAGTTCCCTCAAATTTCACGGCAATATTGCAGCACTCCCCTTAACTTGTCCTTTTCTTTTTCTTTTTGTCTTCAATTCACATTCTCTTTTGTCTTCTTTTCTCAAGTATCCGAGATATATGTATTTGTCATTCGGATTTATTTTGAACGAGGCTTATTATTTATGTTTATCAATGGTACTTGTAAATAAAATTGCAGCATTGAAGTGTCTGCTTGCTTATACTCATACTTGTCCGCACCAAACAACCACTTCATTTAAATATTTGTCTTTTTATCAGAACAATTTTTTTTTCATTTCTTTTCAAAAGAAAAAATGACAGTATGGAGTTATGTACAATTTTGTTGTGTAACTCCTCAATGACATATTTGTATTTCAGAGAATCAATCAATAATATTCGACAATCAAGCATTGCACAAGATTGACTGCAATGTGAATTATGTACTCCATTGGTAGTTATTACAGTAAAATTGAATGCATGATAATCAAGCACCATAACATATAATTGGGCTGAAGTCAGAATAATATATTAATTCACAATACATTGCCTTTGTACCAGTTCATACATATCATGTCTTTTTACACATAAGATAGATTTCAAATGCTATCAAAATACTTGCCTAGTACCACTGGAATGAGGCTGTATCATTAACCTCCACACACGGTGTCCAAAGACACAGATCACAAACTTTGATATGGAGGTTGGCAAGTGTAAGCCTGTTTACGGGTAGAGGTAAATGATAGGTTTGTACTAAAAAAAATAAAAAAAGGGTAAAGGGCAGGTGATTCAAAAAAATTTAACAACAGGGATATTTTCGTAATTGTCACTTATTTCCCCATCTATATTTTACCTCAAACCAAACATAGACTTTATAAATCTTACCTAATTTGCCTGGTGAAATTTTTTCCAACCAAACAACTTTTTTTACATTTTCCTACCAAACTCACTTCCCAACCATTTCCCTATCAATTACATTTCCCTAGTATTCAAAAAATTTCCCCCCAACCAAACGCCCCCCTAAGGAGAAGTTTGAGTGAGACCTCTCTATCTAGGAAAGTTTGAGATTACCACCATTACAAGTGATGCTTGATTATTTAAGAATACTTCTAAAGAGATGTTTGAGTGTTAGACCTCTTTAGGGACGTTTGAAGTTACCACCATATTTGGTGAAGCTTGATTGTACCTCTAGTAAAAGACTAGGGAAATTTGACTGTTATAACCCATTATTCTTATAGTGAAAGTTTGATTCTGAACTAATGTCTCGTGAGTTTTTACTTCTTCACATTGGAAAAAATTTTCCTACGTTAAACAAATTGACCGTGTTCTTCTCCATCTCTCTCCTCACACACACACATACATATAACTCTCTTGTAATTATTGGAGGTAAATTATTTTTATTTGTTTCCTTATTTTAGATATGTTTAATGATCATTTATTTGTAATATAATCATCTTTATTTTTTAAAAAAAGTATTTATAAATAATGTTTAATATTAATTGAATAGAAATAAATTATATTTAAGTTTTTAGATGTATTTAAAGTTATTAAATATTTTATTACTTTGGTAATTATAATTAGTAATAAAAATTTCTTTTAATAGATCCTATTTTTTAGTCATTTTTGCTCTGTGTTAGTATCAATACTGTTACTTGAATCCATCAAATAATTCAGTGAAACATGTCATGGCAATTTTAATTGTTTTTTTTATTCTTAGTATTAGTAAGCGCTACTTCAATCCAAAACCTTAAAATATTAGGAGACAATATATTAATCATTTTGTATTTCTCTAATACACCATAATGCAAGAGCCCTTTAAATTTGAAATGTAGTTATGACACAGACACATTTTTTGGTCTACCTTGTGCTGTATAGATCTATTTTTTGTTTACATTGTGTTTTTCTTAATTCCACCTAAAAATGAGGTAGTAAGGATCAAACTCATAACACTTGATCACTTCAGCTTTGAATCTTTGATACCATGATAACCTTATAAGAATATGGCTGGTTTTTTTGTTGTGCCAATATGACTCTTAAATATAAAACAACACAGGAAATATTTACAATTTGAATTTATGCTGATAGCTAATTCTATTTATATAACTATGTATACATTAAATGCAAAATATTAACATATTAGCTAATCACATTACTGTTACCTGTCAATTACATTACTGTTGCTAATTCTATTCCTACAATTACGTATACATTAAATGTAAAATATTTCCAAAACAGTGTTTGCTGCTAATTCTATTTCTACAATTACATATATATTAAATGCATAAAATTTCTAAAATAGTGTTTGTTCCTCCAATAATTATTATTAAAAATTATTTCATTAACCATTTTAATGATATGAAAAAAAATTATTAAATAATAATTTATAAAATAGCATTGCATTTTTTTCTTATCGTGTTGAAAACTTGAAGACAAGAAGATAAAAAATGTGAGAATAAAATATAACACTGATTATTATTATTTTATAATAACTCCACTTACGCTTAAAGTTACAAATATTCTCTCCAAAAAAAGTTGAAAAAAAGTATATAAAATACTTCTTTTTATTAAATAAAAAAATTTACAGAATCACATATTACCAATTCCAAGGGTTCTCGATTCTGTCACTGTCATCCAACGGCTATGAGAAAAGTAACCAAAAACATATTTTGTTGCGCTTTGCAAGAATATTTATAGCAATTTATTTTTAGTTTTATTTCCATTTTAACCTTAAATTGCTGGAACCCACAATACCAGAGAACATAGTAAAAACGAGGAAGGATTGCACGTGACAATTAAGTTTTTTTTTTTTTTTTTTTTTTTTTTGTGGGGGTAGGACCGCAACTGACCAACTGTGGTGCACAAAAATGTTAAATGTGATTACTTTAAAAAAAAAAAAACTATTAATTGGTTTCATTTTCTAAATTACATTTCAATATTCATCGTTATTTGATTAAATTTCACCAGTTTATTTCGAAAAATAAATTTATTTATTCGAATAAATGAAGATGATGAGAATTAAATTAAACAATTAAGTTATTTAAATAATAATGATATTTTGAATATTTTTTCTCCAAATTAAAATTTCAATATATCAACGTGATTCTTATTTTTGGCAATTTAACAAAGGACATTTTTTTAATCATCATATCATTATTTTTAAATTTACAGAGATTTCAAAATATCATTTTCATTATGTTGTGATATTTTAAAATCCCTACAAATTCAAAAATATCAAACCTATTATTAATAATGTCAATTTGGCCTTTTTTCACTTTTCATCAAAAAAATACGATTCACCCCATTTTTTAAAATAAGAAAATAAAAATAAAAAGAAAACGCAATAATCAATAGTTATACAAGCCATGAAATTTATACAAGCCACACAATGTGCATTTCAAGCGCTTTTTTTTTTGAAAAAAAAAATAGGGTTTGATATTTGTCATTTTAAATGACATAAGTTATGTCATTTTAGGAGAGAGATAGACACAAGAAATGAAAATCATGGGAGAAAAAGTGAATTATTTTTTTTAATTTAAATTTTAAATAAAAAATAATTCATTTAAGATATGGAGAATATAACTGAATTTATATGTTCATATTTATATATATTTTTATATATCTACATATATCCAGGTCAACCGGTCCGACCAGTGACCCATCAGTCCGACTAGTGACCCAGTATCCCGACCGGGTCGATACCCATGTCGGGTTTAATAACACTGTGCAGAACAAAAAAATAAGTTGAAAATAAATGGCACAAACTAAAAACGCTACATGGTAACACCCCACATCTCCAGCACAACGAAAGTATATGATTCTTTTAGCAAATTAATCATTAGATGAGATAGATTTTATCTAGAAAAATAAGAGATTATGTAATGTAAGTTTGCGTAATCTGTACACGTAATACATTTCTCACTATATAGATACATCCATGCATAACACGAAAGGAAGAAAAATCAAAGACAGAGAATAAGAAAGAACATAAGGAAATCTTAAGAGAGAGAAACAAGAGAAATCAGGAGGAGAAAGGAAAACAGAATCAAAATAAGGTAATATTGGGTGATGAAAAATGTTCTCTCGTTTTTTTTATTTTTCAAAACGAAGATTTATTTACAAGCCTCTGTCGTTTTGCCAAACTCTTCTCTTTATTTATTCTTTAGTTCAAGTTTATTTCGTTACAATAGTTTGATTTTGTTCAATGATTTCATTTCTTACAATATCTTTAGTTTCTTTTAAATTTTATTTATTTTCACATACTGATTATCTAGTAGAGTAATTATTTGGTACCAAATAATTACAAAGAGAATGCGTACATTTAACTGATGAAAACTGCTATGAACTGACCCACAGAGTTTGAGTTCATACGATTATAGGGTAAATGACGCCTTAACGTAGTTTGAGCTCCTCCACAATAAATCTTTCATATCAGAGAACCACAAAATTGAAAAATTATTTAGCTTCAGTTAAATATTAAACAATACATTATTTATTATATTACTTTATTTTATGAAATTGTCTAAGAGAATGATATTTTTCGTTATTACGGTTGAAAATGGTTATAGTTAGAAAATGTCAATATTATTGAGAATTTTCTCACGTTTGTTTATTTTTATGCTAACCTTTTCAGATGATCATAATGTCTAGCCTAAGCTTGTCAGGTGAAGGATGGAGTATCAATGTTTACTCTTACGATGATCACATGTAATTCTATATTATAGTAGGAAATCAAGGAGATGCTGCAATATTCTATGCTGAAAGTGTGGAGACCTACACCTATAGATTAGATTTGGATATGACTTTTGTATTATATAATTATGTAATGCCATAATGTAACATATAAATTAAAGTGATGTAATATATAGTAGAATGTAGGACCAATGTAAAATAATTTTCCTATGTACCTGACATAATGTATTGTATAAAGTAATGTTGGTAGATAACATATAGTTATTTTTAATTGTTCTTATCATTAATAGTAAATTTGAAGAAATCATATAATATTCCTTATAAGAGTTAATTTTAAGAACGTTACAGAATGCATACATTATTTTTTATGCGAACTCTATAATCAAGTTCTACGAGGCATTAAAATGTTGCATCAATACGACTTTAATCGTTCACTTCATTAAAAAATACCTCACATGTTATTATACTGCTCATGTGCAGCATTTTAACTTTTATTTTAAAATTTACTTTTTTAAAAATTTGTTATTCAAACATCTAAAAAATTTCAAAAGAATTTTTTTTAAAAAAAAAAGTAATTTTTTTAAAAATAAAAGCATATCCAAATGAGCATTAATAAAAAGAATAACAAGTATGAATTCAAACAGCAGTCATTCAACTCCTAAACAATATTTCAAGTTGATTTAAAACTCTTTTTGGTCAAATGTAAGATAAATTCAAATTCAAATTCATGTAAGATATATGTCAAATTCATGAGACTGTGACAGCGGAGTGCTCTTTGGCGCAGCAATTTCAAATTGACAATTTCCCAAAGTCAACGAAAAAGGCAATTAATCCAATTTAATTTTGCATTTATTAGAAATAAATATCCCTAAAAAAACTCCTAAATCAATTTGGGATGAAAAAAAAGAAAAAAAGAAAGAAAAAAGAAGGGAAGGTATCTTTGATATGATTAGATTATATGACCGTGTAAAACTATCATAAAAGGGATTTCGGTCATTCAATATATGAAAAATAGTCCATCACAACATTGCTTACTCATTCTCTCATGTGTTAATAAATATGATTATATCATGTGGGATGATTATAAATACAAAGGTAAATTGATGGTGATAAGTGAAAAGAAAAGAGAAAAAAAATTATAATAGATAATTATAAAATCATGATAATTGATTTATCTTTACAGGATTATGATTTATTCACATTATCCATTTCTCTTATCTCTATATATACAAGGTTTTTGTGTTCACCCAAAATCATTCATTCTCTCAAATGGCTAATGAGAAAGACTGGGATCTCTCTGCCATTTTCCGATGTTGCCGAACTGCAAACTTTACTGCCACCACCGCCACCACAAAAACTCTGCCGATAACCACCACCACCGCCACTCAAGACACTAACTTTTGCATGGCTGATCATTTAATCCTCAGGCAAGAAGAGGATGACTCATTTTCTTTTCCCGTTCCTGAGCCACTTCCAACCAATGGTTTCGATGAACACCCATTGTTAATGAACTTCAAACCCACCACTATCACCAACACTAACACTAGCGGTAATAATATCAAATCCTATTCCACTCTTGGAGAACAGTGGATGCAACAAGGATATATAATCTGCGTTGTCACTGTCTCATGTTTCTGCATGCAAGGCCATAATCTGCACTGTCTGCTGCGTTTTAGTTTAAATATATAATAACAAATTAATCAATTTTATTAGATTATATCGTACTAAAATTGAAATTCATATTAATTGATGAAAATTACTGATCGTTAATGACATATAGTATAATAACAAACTATATCGTACTAAATCTATTCCCTTCCTTGACATTCTCTGCTGCTATTACATTTTTTCTAATACACATCAAAATGATATAATTTCATTAAAAATAATACAAAGTTATATTTTTTAAAATCACAAACTAGTTCCGCATATATGTACCTTAGATATGCAGAATATTTGATACATTTTTCATATCTTCGCGATGCCCACAAATCTGCTTCGAGGTTATCCGTGTTCATATGACACAACATTTCCACCTGATCGATTTTCCTGTGAAAAAAAAAAATGAAATTTATTATTTTTATATCGTAGGAATTTATATATGATAAAAACTTTATATTTTTTGGATATAATGAAATTGATTAAAACGTATGAAATTGATTAAAACGTAAATCACACTCATTTCTCTGTTAAAACCTAACTAACTAAAATATTTGATTGGATATAATGAAATTGATTAAAACGTAAATCACACTCATTTCTCTGTTAAAACCTAACTAACTAAAATATATGAAATTGTTGTGAGGATAATTTTTGCACACAATTTTATCTTTATAAATTTTTAAAGAAGATTATTTTCAAATTTGAATCGATGAACTTTCAATCACAAAGAGTATATAGATAAAATCACTCTCCATTAAATTTCAACTAATGAGGTTGAGCTGAGGACAAATAATTGCAAAAAAACTATTTTGCAGATTTAAATATAAAAGAATAATTTTACCATCACTTTATGTTTATCCTCTAAAAAAGAGAAAACTTTGTTGCACCGAGAACATCCATCTTTTACTAAAAAAGATAAAGAAAATAGAACTTAAAATGTAAATATATAAAAAAAGTATGGATAAAAAGAGAAGTTTTTTTCTCTGCTTTTTTTAGTAAAAATGAGCACCAAAGTTTTTCTCCTCTAAACAGAGTATATAGATATATGTGAAAAATTTAATATACCTTTTTCTTGATATGGGTGTTGGTGGTCGTATGTTTTGTAAAATCACAGGACTGATTTGAGGTACTTGATTGTGCTGGTGTTGTTGTTGTGAGGGTTGGGGTTGGGGTTGCTGCGCATGCCATTGAGGTTGATAATTTGTGGAGGCTCCAATGGAGGTGTAATTTGTGGGAGCAGGCACAGGATGATATCCTTGTTGCATCCACTGTTCTCCAAAAGTGGAATAGGATTTGATATTATTACCGCTAGTGTTAGTGTTGGTGATAGTGGTGGGTTTGAAGTTCATTAACAATGGGTGTTCATCGAAACCATTGGTTGGAAGTGGCTCAGGAACGGGAAAAGAAAATGAGTCATCCTCTTCTTGCCTGAGGATTAAATGATCAGCCATGCAAAAGTTAGTGTCTTGAGTGGCGATGGTGGTGGTTATCGGCGGAGTTTTTGTGGTGGCGGTGGTGGCAGTAAAGTTTGCAGTTCGGCAACATCGGAAAATGGCAGAGAGATCCCAGTCTTTCTCATTAGCCATTTGAGAGAATGAATGATTTTGGGTGAACACAAAAACCTTGTATATATAGAGATAAGGGAAATGGATAATGTGAATAAATCATAATCCTGTAAAGATAAATCAATTATCATGATTTTATAATTATCTATTATAATTTTTTTTCTCTTTTCATTTCACTTATCACCATCAATTTACCTTTGTATTTATAATCATCCCACATGATATAATCATATTTATTAACACATGAGAGAATGAGTAAGCAATGTTGTGATGGACTATTTTTCATATATTGAATGACCGAAATCCCTTTTATGATAGTTTTACACGGTCATATAATCTAATCATATCAAAGATACCTTCCCTTCTTTTTTCTTTCTTTTTTTCATCCCAAATTGATTTAGGAGTTTTTTTAGGGATATTTATTTCTAATAAATGCAAAATTAAATTGGATTAATTGCCTTTTTCGTTGACTTTGCGAAATTGTCAATTTGAAATTGCTGCGCCAAAGAGCACTCCGCTGTCACAGTCTCATGAATTTGACATATATCTTACATGAATTTGAATTTGAATTTATCTTACATTTGACCAAAAAGAGTTTTAAATCAACTTGAAATATTGTTTAGGAGTTGAATGACTGTTGTTTGAATTCATACTTGTTATTCTTTTTATTAATGCTCATTTGAATAATTTTTTTTTAAAAAAGTAAATTTTAAAATAAAAGTTAAAATGCTGCTTTTTTCTAGCCAGTAATTGACTGATTTTGAAAAAAAAAACAGAAATTAAACGATAATATAATTTTTTTTTGAAAAAAAGATAATATAAATTTTTAAAGGTGAAAACATCTATCCTTCTAACGGATATAAGCTTATATCATTTTAGATCCTAATCGTTGATTTTCGTCCATCAACGGTTATAATCTATTGGGTCAAACTTAATAGGCCAAATTTATTTTTAATTAATTAATAATTTTGATCCAATAAATTATAACCGTTGATGGACGGAAATCAACGGTTACGATCTAAAATGATATAAACTTATATCCTTTAAAATGACAGATATTATTCCCATTTTTAAAATACAATTTAACCTTATCCTATCATACCTATTTTATCTCTCCTTATCCCACGGTTATGCTATGTTATCTGTTCTATATTGTAATTTTATATATAAAAATACTTTTTTATTTTAATATCAAAACAACTTTTTTATGTAAAGATGATTTTTAAATCATACATGCAAACGTAAAATAACTTTATCTTTTCAAAAAAATTCTTTTAAAAAAATAATACATAAAAAATCATTTTTTAAAAAAGCTCGGGCCTTAATCATATAGTTGACAACTAATAATGATATACTATACGTCACACACATTGATAATCAAACTCATAAACAGTACACATGAGCAGTATAATAACATGTGAGGTATTTTTTAATGAAGTGAACGATTAAAGTCGTATTGATGCAACATTTTAATGCCTCGTAGAACTTGATTATAGAGTTTGCATAAAAAATAATGTATGCATTCTGTAACGTTCTTTAAAATTAACTCTTATAAGGAATATTATATGATTTCTTTAAATTTACTATTAATGATAAGAACAATTAAAAATAACTATATGTTATCCACCAACATTACTTTATACAATACATTAAGTCAGGTACATAGGAAAATTATTTTACATTGGTCCTACATTCTACTATATATTACATCACTTTAACTTATATGTTACATTATGGCATTACATAATTATACAATACAAAAGTCATATCCAAATCTAATCTATAGGTGTAGGTCTCCACACTTTCAGCATAGAATATTGCAGCATCTCCTTGATTTCCTACTATAATATAGAATTCCATGTGATCATCGTAAGAGTAAACATTGATACTCCATCCTTCACCTGACAAGCTTAGGCTAGACATTATGATCATCTGAAAAGGTTAGCATAAAAATTATTTATCTAACCTTAGCATTAAAATGTGAAAACTACATAAATATGAATCATTTTTAAATGTGACATTATTAGAAAAGTCTCAAATACCAACAAAATTTATCAAACGAAAAATATTTCGTCAAACATAGTGACGACGAAATTTTTGACAAAAATCACATTACGTCGAAAATAGAGACGAAACAAGAATTGGCCATAATCACTAACACAAATTTTTTTCGGAAAAAAATTCAGTCAAAATTCTTGATAGAATTTAAATTCTGTTGAAACTTTCAACGAAAATATTTCTGTCAAACTTTTCAAGCAAAAATATTTTCATCCAAATTTTTTGACAGAAATTAATTCCATAAAAAATTTTGTCAGAAAACATTTCCATCAAAATTTTCAATGGAACACATTTGCAGTGAAAATTTGCAACAAAAAATATTTTTGTAAAAATTTGTGACGAAAAAGTATTTTTGTAAAAAATTCTGATACAAAATTTTGTGTCAAAATTCTGTACAGAATCTAAATTCCGTTAAAATATTTTCATCAAAATATTTCACAAAAAAACATATTCGTCGAAATTTTCGATGAAGAAAATTTCCCTCGAAATTTTTAACGAAACACATTTCCATTGAAAATTTTCGTAAAAAGTTTTGACAAAAAAGATTTGTGTACAAATTTTTGGCAGAAAAAAAAATCGTCACAATTCTTTCTAAATTCTGTCAAAAGTTTTCGACGAAAATATTTTCATCATACTTTTTTACGGAAAAAATTTCTTCTGAAATTTTCGACGAAACACATTTCCATTGAAAATATTTTCGGCAAAACTTTCAACAAAACATATTTATATCAAAATTTTCAAATAAACACATTTCTGTAAAAAAAATTCGATGGAAAATATTTTCGTAAAAAATTCGACGAAAAATATTTGTGTAAAAAATTTCGACAAAAAAATATTCTGTTAAATTTCTTTACGGAATCTAATTTCATCGAAATTTTCGTTGGGACACATTTTCATCAAAAAAAGTTGAAGAAAAATATTCCATTAAATTTTTTGACGGAATTCTTTTTTCCGTCAATACTTTTGATGGAATTTTGATCGTTGAAAATGTTTAACAAATCATTTTCGTCAAAACTTTTGATGGAAACTAAATTCCGTCGTAAATTTTCACAGAAAATTTATTTTTGTAAAAAATTTCATTGGATAAAACTTTCGTCGCCTCTCGATGAAAAGTATTCTGTCGAAAAAAAATTATTTTGACGGAATTTTCATCGTTTGCAACGTAAAATTTTCTTCGAAAATATGATCTTTTTTAGTAGTGTGAAAAATATATAAATAATTTTTTAAAAAATTTTACATTTAATTTTATTTGTAAAATAAATAATTATATTAATTTTTATAAAAGGGTAAAATTGTAAAAATATTTCATTGACTCTCTAATTTCTTCCTTACCATTTTTTTAAATTTTAAACAAGAGAAGAGAATACCCTTCAATTACTTTCCCTTCCTTCCCCTTCCTTCCCCTTGAATCTCCTTCCTTTTCTTCCCTTCCTCTTGTTTAAGGCTTTGTTTGGGAGTTTGGAGGGGAAGGGAATCCAAAAGGGAAGGAAGGGAAGGAAATTGGAGGGTATTGCCTTCCATTGTTTGGGAGTTAAAAAAATGGTAAGGGAGAAAAGTGAAAGGTTAATGACATATTTTTACCATTTTAACCTTTTTTAAAAATTAACATAATTATTACATTTTATAAAATAAATTAAATATAAAATTTCTAACAAAATTATTTGGGAAAAGCGTTTGTCATTTTAAATGACATAAAGTTATGTCATTTTAATATAGAGATAGGCACAAGAAAATATTTTTTTATTCAAAATTTAAATTAAAAAAAACCACTCAGTTTCTCTCCCATGATTTCCATTTCTTGTGTCTATCTCTCTCTTAAAATGACATAACTTATGTCATTTAAAATGACAAACATCAAACCCAAATTATTTATATACTTTTCACAATATTAAAAAGACTATATTTTGGACGAAATTTTAACGTTACAAACGACGGAAATTTCGTCACAAAATTATTTTTTCGTCCGAATACTTTTCGTCGAAATACGACAGAATTTTTTCTCCGATGAAAATTTTAACAAAAATAAATTTCCTACCAAAATTTTCGACGAAATTTAGTTTCCGTCAAAAGTTTTGTCAAAAATGATTTCTTTCATCAAATGTTTTAAACGAAAAAAGAATTTCGTCAAAAATTTTGACGAAATATTTTCCGTTCAAAATTTCGATGGAAATATATTTTGATAAAAATTTCGAAGGAAAATTGTTGTAAAATTTTTTGAGGGAAATGGTTCATTCGAAACTTTCGACAAAATTTAGATTTTGTAAAGAATTTTGACAGAATATTTTTCGGTCAAAAGTTTTTATAGAAATATTTTTTGTCAAAAATTTTTACAAAAATATTTTCTGTCGAAAGTTTTTGACAGAAATGTGTTCCTTTGAAAATTCTGGTGGAAATGTTTTTTTATCAAACATTTTGACAGAAATATTTTTCGTTGAAAATTTTCAATAGAAATGTGTTTCGTTAAAAATTTCGACGGAGATTTTTTTTGTCAAAAAGTTTAACGAAAATGTTTCCGTCGAAAACTTTTGACGAAATTTAAACTCTCTAAAGAATTTTGATGAAATTTTTTTTTCGTCAAAGATTTTTGATGGAAATGTTTTGCGTCAAAAATTTCGATAAATATGTTTTTTTGTGAGATATTTTGACAAAATTTAGATTCCGTAAAGAATTTTGACAAAAATAATTTTCCGTCAAAATTTTTTAGAGAAATGTTTTTTGTCACAAATTTTTGATGGAAATATTTTTCGTCGAAAATTTTTGCAAATTTTTTTGATGAAAATGTTTTCCGTAAAAAATTTTGACGTAATTGTTTTACGTCGAAACTTTTCGATGGAAATGTGTTTCGTCAAAATTTTGGACGAAAATATTTTCGTTGAAAGTTTTGACGGAATTTAGATTCTATTAATAAATTTGAATGAATTTTTTTTTCCGTAAAAAATTTATGTCAGTGATTATGGCAAAATCTTGTTCCGTCTCTAACTTCGTCTTTAGTTTTGACGGAAAATTTTTGACGTATATGATTTTCATCAAAAATTTCATCACTATTTTTTGACGAAATGATTCACATTTTAATAATTTTACATTTAAAAATGATTCACATTTATGTAGTTTTCACATTTTAATGGTAAGGGTAGATAAGTAATTTTTAATATTTCCCCCCTCAAACCCCCCAAATTGGGGGAACTTTAATTTTAAGAAGAAGGAGGGATTTGAAGGGTTTAGTAAAAATCTTCAATTCCTTCCCCTCTTTTTTTTTTAACTCCCAAACAAGGGAAGGACTTACTAAAACCCTCTGTTTCTTTTCTTTCCCCTCTTAAAACCTTGTTTAAAGAAACCTGCCATGTCAGAAAAAATAGAATAGAGATTGATACTATTACAGCTAGCGCTAGGGACTTTTTGACCCTTATAACCCTTTATTAATAATTAATTACCAAATTGACCTTCATTATAAACTATTTCGAAAATTTAACCTCCCAAAAAAACATAACACCAATCTGCCCCTGTTTGACCGTTGACCACCAAGCATACCCGGGTATTTTTTGAAATTTTATGCTTACCCGGGTAGGAAGGGATGTACCCGGGTATATTTCTTGAGATCTGAAAAATTGCTTGAACTATTTACCCGGGTAGGAAGGGATGTACCGGGGTAAATTGCTTGATTTGGTTGAACAGTAATGAGAGGCTCCATTTGGGGAAAGCGAGCAATGAGTTGAGAACGTTTTGCGAGCTCAAAGTCCTGGAACTGAAAAGCAGGTGCACAAGTGCATCCCACAAGAGAGTAGTGACTCTCACCATCTCTAGCTGCAGCTCTCACCAATGCCCCATATGAAGATACAACGCTAAAATCCTTAGTGGGAAATGAACCAAACCATACATTGACGTTGGAAGCCACTGTGTATTGCGGTATATGATAATCACTCAGATCCGATCCAAGGCACGTAAACTTGACACTTCCATCCTTCTTATTCAATTCCACTATCTACAAAAATTAATGACAAATACCAATTATTTCCTCATTCAATTTTGTTGAAAATTTAATAAATAAAAAAAGGTGATAGATTAAAGAGCAGGTGCATACTGTGATAGGTTCACCAATATAATGATGCCAGGTTTCAACACAGGGTATGCGATGGAGACGAGATACGTTCCCAGAAGGAAGAAGAAAATATATGGAGGTGGATACAGGGCGATCAACTTTGTCTGTTGCCAAATTTGAGAAAAAAACGATTCAGTGGGAGATTTACCCGGGTACACCCCTCCCTACCCGGGTAAATAGTTCAAGCAATTTTTCTGTTCTCAAGAAATATACCCGGGTACACTCATTCCTACCCGGGTAGGCATAAAATTTCAAAAAATACCCAGGTAAGGAGGGGTGTACCCGGGTAGGCTTGGTGGTCAACGGTCAAATAGGAGCAGATTGGTGTTATGTTTTTTGGGGAGGTTAAATTTTCGAAATAGTTTATAATGAAGGTCAATTTGATAATTAATTATTAATTAAGAGTTATAAGGGTCAAAAAGCCAGCGCTAGGTGGTGGGTTTGAAGTTCATTAATAACAATGAGTGCTCATTGAACCCATTGGTTGAAGGTGACTCAAGGATGGGAAAAGAAAATAAATTTTGTTTGATTGTGTTTTGAGTTTTTTTGTTCTTAAAATTATTTTGTATAATAAATTTTAAAAACTATTTTGTAGAATAAAAAATGAAAAAAATTTATTTGATAACATTATTCTGAAAACAGTTTAAAAGTTAAAAAACAAAAAAATTGTTTGGTAAATTTGTTTCCAAAATGTGGTTTTAAAGTAGAAAAACTGAAAAAATTATCAAAAGACCAAAAAGTAAAAGAACATATCGCCACTGAGGTGGCACAATATTAACTTTTACTTTTTTATTTTCAGATTATTACCATCATGCCATTAATGAAAATCTTGTTCTCCGTATTTTTGTTATTTTGGGAGTAATAAAACCAAAACATGATAAGGGCGTTCTATAAATTTAGTTTTAAAAATTACAAATTAGATGTTGTTTTTAGAATTACTTTTACAAAACATTGATCAATAAACAATTTTTTTTATTCTTAAAACAAGAAAAATATTTTACGAAATAGAAATCAAACAGTTAGTCTTGGATACGCTTTTATTCTTAAAAAAATTGCTTTTTATTGTAAAAAAATGTTCTTTTGAGAATTTTTAAATGTTTGGATAACAACTTTTTAAAAAATCAAAATTTAAAATAAAAGTTAAAATGCTGTTTTGTTAACCAGTAGTTGGTTAATTTTTAAAAAAGTACAAACTAAAAGATAATATAAATTTTTAAAATACAATTTTAACCTCATCCTATCATACATATTTTATCTCTCCTTATCTCACTATTTCATGCTGCTTTTTTTAATTAGGTCTTTCAACAACCTATCACTTTTAATCAAACATCTTTCTATAAAATTGGAGCAGTTTGTCGAACGTCTTTTCTGATATTATAATCACATTCTCCAAATTTCATTTGCGTAAATCCCAAAAATTTGTTAATTTTTTTTATAGATCCTTTTTGTAATTTTATATAAAAAAAGTGTTTTTTTTATTTTAACATACAAATAACTTTTTTTATATAAAAGTGATTTTCAGATCATACATCCAAACTCAAAATAACTTTACCTTTAAAATAGCTTTACCTTTTAAAAAAAGTTCTTTTAAAAAAATCAATGCATAAAAAGTACTTTTTTTCAAAAGTTCATCCAAACAGGCCTTGAGAAATGGTGGTCGTGTGATATTATAAGCTAGAGATTCCAATCGTCCTCATTAGCCAATATATAGAATGATTAATATGATTATTATTATAGTGTTAATTAATAAATCTAAAAGATATATTATAAGCTAGAGATTCCAATCGTCCTCATTAGCCATTATATAGAATGATTATTAATATAGTGTTAATTAATAAATCTAAAAGATATTAAAATACCAGCCAGTGTTGAGAAAACTGGCCCGGCCCGACCGATTGGCCCGGAAACCGGCCCATCAACCAGTCCGATTCTTGCAACGGACCGGATATGTTATTGAACCGGTATTGACCCGGTGAATCGGTCGTGAACCGCGGTTCAACCGGTATTAACCATCAAAATGGTTTTGGAAAAAATAATTTCAAAGTTGCTGGGATTTGAACTCGAGTCTCTTGAGTAAGCCAAACAACAACTTACCACTGGGCTGAGTTTATTTGTTGGTTAATATGCACAATTTAATATATACATCATATCATTTAATAGAATTATTTAAAAATTGCATGTAGTGGGAATCAAACCCTTGTTGTGAAGATTTAAATTTTAGTATTTACCACTAAGCTACATTTGGTTCTTGGTTCACTTACACCATTTAAAATATTTATTATATAATTAAGTATAAAATATAAATTTATATACATATCCGGTTCATGCGGTTGAACCAGTGACCCACTGACCCGGTACCCCGACCGGTCGATCACCGGTCCGGGTTTAATAACATTGATACCAACAACTAGATAAGATTATAATCTCTTTTCATATCGTTTCATTTTGTTTCAGGTTCAATGTAACAAATCACTAATCTGATGGAAAAGACAGTTGGGATTAGTTGCAAAGGATAAAGATCAAGAAAAATAAAGAATTAATCAAAATTAATCCTCAGCAAGCTGGCCCAGAAATAAAGGCCCAATTTAACTCTTTAAATACAACGAGACGAAGCCTTTGAAAAAGATTCAAAATTCGGAGACGCAAAGAAAAAGAAGAACTCAGAGACAAAGTCGAAGGCAGTAGCGGAGGAGGAATACTGGAGCGGTGCAGAGGAGAAAAAAAAGATTAAATCTGCATCATTGATCATCACCATTGAACAAGTTTTACCATGAACCTTCTTTCTTTTAGAGTAGCTTTTAATTTTGTTTTTATGACTATGCGTAGCTAAATTTCTTTAAGTAGTTAGGGCGAGACGGAAACAATGGGTTCTTAAACGCTGTTTGCCTATCTTATGATTTACGTTCTTGATTTAAAGTTATGCAATTAATCTGTTATTTATTATTAGCTTTATTTATGAATTGATCACTCGTAGATAAACATATGAGTTATGCATGACAATAGGGATGTTGGTGTATCAATTCCGATTGATTGATTGCTGGAATTTATATGATCTAGGATAGACTTGTGAATTCTATAACTGTAACTTCTTGCGTTAATGCTTATTTTATGAAAAAGTACTAAGGGATTAGGCTTTTGAGTGGAGTAAAGGATTGAATTACCAAGGGATTGAGATTTAATCGAATATAGAAAAAACTGTTAATAACTTGATCTTGAATGTAATCATAAGAATAGGTAGATTCGTTGGGAAACTATTGGGGGAGTTGAATCCTAGCTACGTCTTTCATAAAAATTTAAAACCAATTTTCTAGCATTATAAATTATAAATTTAATTTCTTGAATATTGAAAACTAAATATAAGTAGTTAAAATTCTATTTTAATTTAATTAAAATATTCTCAAGAAACCCCTTTCACGATCGATCCAACTTTAATTGAATAGGTAAATTAGTGATTGGTCATTACTCATTAGTCCTTGTGGGATCGGCAACTTTATTTTACCACTTTATTACTTGTACGATCGATGCACTTGCCGAAGTCGCAACAACCTTGTTTATATAAAGAGAAGAGAGATTAAGCCATGTTGTGATGGACTACTTTTTCATATAGAAAATAAAATAGAAAGAAAATAGACAATATAGAAATTTGAAAGCTAAAGATTGAACGATCATAGTTTTACATGGTCATAGTCTAATCATATCAATTAAAATATGAGAGAATACGTTCCTTTTTTATTTACTTGTATAAAAAAAGGCTAAATTAATGAGTTAGGAATCAAGGGAGCACAGACACTTGTAAAAACAGGAAGAGTCGGGTCCGACACGCTCCGACGGTTGACTTTTTCCGGCACGTTGACCATTCCGTCACGCGAATTTGACCGTATCCGACACGGTCAAATGGCATTTTCGTAATTTTTTTTAATTTTTTTTAATTTTTTTTTTTTAAAATTATTTTTTTAAAAAGTTAAAATATATTAATAAAGCTTCCACCTGATCATATCAATTTTATCTTTTTGTCTTTTTTCCCCTTAAGTAGATAAGAGATCATCTCAGCATCATTGTTGTCAATTCTTATCACGCTCTTGTTGTATCTTCTTCTCTCTGATCTCTCACTCTAATATGATTTGATCTCTCTATCTGATATTATATCTCTCTCTCATCCCAGTTCTTATTTTTTTTGTTAAATCTTCCATCTTTATAACATGTTGATGGATATTATTAATTTAGTTTCATTTTTTTGTTAAATTATTAAATATTAAATGAAATATACACTATATAAATTAAAAATATTATTTAATATTAAAACGTGTCCCAACGTGTCGAAATCCATAATTTTTTAGGATTGACGTGTCGAAGTGTCGTGTCGTGTCGTGTCACGTGTCGTATCGGTGCTACATAGTTAGGAATCATATCAATTAGGGATTTTTTTTTCTAAAAAAGGCTAAATGAAATTTACTTGCCTTTTTCATTTTTTGGAAAATGGTCAATTTGAAATTACTGAACGAATGAGGAAATCACGCGGTAGTCCAAGATTTTCTTCTTACATTTAATAAAATAAACAGGCTAATCATCAAACAAACATGTTTCTTTAGTTTCAGTGAAATTTACTAAGTAATAACAAATATTACTCCATCTGGCTCTATCACGATAATGAATGTAATCAAGTTAATAGAAGTGGTAATATTCCTATTAGAAGCATATTAAAATCCCACTGCCATATGGATAAGAAACAAAATATGAGGCAAAGAATAAATTAAATGTCATTCCAAAAAATAGAATTACAAATATAACACATTAACACAACCTCAACCCAACTATCCATCACCTGATACCTTTAATATGCTTTAATAGATAGAAGTGGTGTAAAGATATTAATTTATATTTTTTTAATAAATCATTCAGTATCTAGTCACCAACGAGCTCAATCTAGAAACTACTAATTTAGGCACAACTAGGGTTAGCCTAGTGGTGTGGGGTGTGTGTGTTAGGAGTGTGTGTAGTGTAGGATGCTGTGTTTTATTTCTTGTAACCTCCAAAAAAAAGAAACTACTAATTTAGCTGAAATAATCCTTGTGCAAATAAATTCACGTGTTGGGTAGTCTAATTTATAAGTTTTTAACTTTATATTATGTTGCTTTAATTTTGCCACATACTTATTGATGATAAAATAGGCTAACCAACCTAGGTCAAATCTTTTGATTTTTGAACAAAGGCTAGATCAGACTTATAATTTAACTTACATCAAGTTATTAGATTAGATCAGACTCAAAATATTTTATATATATCTGACTTATTTAAACTATAATATAACCTGACCCAACTCATTTACACTCTTAGTAGTAGTATATTTTAAGATTTAATATCTTTCTAATATTCTCTAAATTATAAAAAGCCGAAAATTGAAATTATTTTTTTAAAAAAAAGACTGGTGTCATGAAAACTAGAAATTTGTGATCTCATGTGGACACCATTTTTATTATTGTCAAATTAGAAAATGGGATAAGAGCAGTTTGGTCAAACCAGTTTGAATTTTGTGATATAGGATGAGTAGGAATTTATTCTCGATGGAGGATGCTCTATGTCATGACCCTTGGTCACGAAAATTTCTTCAATACTCCCGTTCAACCAAGTTTTTCATCTATTCCTCCAATGAAAATCAATGCTGCTACAGTAACATGTTAAGGAGAAAAATACTGAGTTAAACACATGTATTTAATTGTTAATGGCGAAAATATGTTGGGAGTATTAAAATTGAGTTCTTTAGTCACACTATATTTTGTTTTAAGAATTTAAAAAGAAAATGGTATGGACCAACAAGATTATGCCAATTGGTACAATTTGATATGTGGTAAATTCCTAATGACACTCACCATATTACGTCATATGATGCAGTCTGGTTGATCCATATTCTTTTCAAAAAAATAATGAAAAAAATATTCCCTTTATTTTTAGTATAAAATACTCCATTTTCCATACTCACCAATTTCAAATACTAAATAATTAAAATTATTAATTAATATATTACACCTCCTTTCAAATTATATAGCAAAATGTTTATCTTCTCAAATTGCATATCAATATTTCCCTACTTAACCAACTCCTAGTCTTTGGTAAATCGTTTATTCAAGTAAGTGTTAGTCAAACAGTGACAAATTAATATATATTTTGATAAAAGAAAAAAGTTAATATATAATTTAAAAAGAGAAACAAAGTGATAAAAAAATTAAAAAAAAAAAGACAAAAGGATCAATCAATTTTTTTTAGAAAAGGTACCGTCCAACTAGATTATACCACGTGGCACAGTCTTATTGTTGGTCCATAATTAAAAAAAAAAAGTTAACAAAAAATTAAAAAGTAAATAAAAAAACAATAAGACTTTTAACACTTTCCATGTCCGTTGAAAAAATAATTCTCACTCTTCTTATTCGACTGGTTTATCCATACAGTTGGATGGCCATAGATTCGAACGTTGTATCCGAGTCAACCTTTTGGAAGCTTTTCTAGTCAATGCTCTCTTTACTAGTCAATGGAATTGCTAAATGAAGTAATATACTGTACACGTTACACCTAATCTATAGGTGAGCGTGGGCCCCATTTAAGAACACGTGATTTTACTTTTTGCCATAAATAATAGTACAATGTATATACTTATAAGGTTATATTTATCTCATTTAATATGAGATAACTTATTTTTCTACACACACATGATAAAAGTGAATTTCACTTTTATTTTTTTTAACTTCAATTATTTGTGAATCTCTCTTATTATTTTATTTCACTAACATAAGATAACTTATCTACATCAACATAAGAAAAAGATTTATCATAATTGTATAGCGGTATTTAATTGCAAAATAATTATATTTTCGTAAATAATTATAAAAAAAACAATATTTAATTTTTTTGTCAAGATATTAATTAGTCATTATTTTATTTTTTCTGAAAATTAGTTTTTCTCATTTTCTTTTGGATTTCTTCATTAATTCATTGAAAACTCAACAAATCATATTCGAATTTTTTTTTTGATAAAGCCACTATTCCAAAATGATTTTTTCAATTTTCAGAACTCAAACTTAAAACTTCTAATTCACATCAATATCACATTTATTTTAAATTATTTAGAATTGACAGTAAATAAATCGATTTCCCTTATGTTAATTTTGTCGACGGACAATTACATTAGTTCGATCCATAAACTCTTCGGATCTTGTACATTGAATCCCTTATGCTATTATAAAAAGTCTAAAAGAAAACACTAAATAATGAAACACAAAATTACTTTTTTAGTCTAAGGAGAAAAATGATCATCCAAAATAATATTATTTTTATGAGTAATTTTGCAACTAACCAACTAAATAAATCATATTATAAACTCTACTTAATTTTTCTTCTGGCCAAATCTATAGTGCAAAATCTAATTACAAAATTTGAAGAGTTGATCATCAAATAGTCTAAAATGATCCATGCAATAATCAAGTTAAAAAAATGTCATAATTGTTATATGATATATGATTAGAAAGATTATTCTGAAAATTGGTTAGAAGCATATGTAATGGCTCATAAAATTATTCTTTAGGAAGATTTAAATGGTCTCAACAGTTCAAAGGATATGCCTTGAGAAAGAACAAAACTTGTGGGGAAAAAGTGAGGGATTAAAAGGAGGAGGAAAAATGTATAGGGCATATCTAAATATTCCTCCACCGTATAGTATTAGTAACTCAGTATCTTCCTGGTTGCTTGCACGCGAAACAAAATTGACACCATTTTTTTTTGCTTTTATTATGGCAGATAAAAATGTTACAAAGTCTAATACACGTGAAGATATAAATATACTCTCTTAACGGGGAAGCTTGGAATAATGTATATAGTTGGTCATTAGAGCTATATGCTTGCAATTGAACAGTTGAATTTTTTTTTTCGTGACCACAATTTTGAAGTCAACTCCATTAAATTGATTCTCTCTCTATTTTATGTAGTTTTATTTTAGGAGATTTTATACTTCATAAAGGAATAAATAGAGTGAAGTCAACTATGAAAATTGCGACTCCTTATGCACACAGTACAAGGTTTTTTTTTTTTTTTTTTGTCACGAATTGTAAAGTTGTAATGCAATTTGTTTTGACCGGTTACCTCCGGTTTGTTTCGAAACCCAATTTTTAACATGGATTTCCAAAACATTGACATTTTATTTTTAAGGCAGGTGAACATGTGGTATTGTTAAAAAATTAAGAGTACGAGCTCATAAAGCTCAAACGAGTTAAAGATATTAACAGGGATAAGGATAAGAATAAGAATAAGATTTAAATTATGTAAAAAATTTCTGTATACGTCTTTGTCTATGTTATCAAAGGTTGTTATAGGATCTAAGAGTTAAGCGGTATTTATTGAGGAGACAAAGACAAGCATATATGATGGCAGATCGTTATGCATTATGGGAAGACTGACTCAATGAGAGTGATATGTATGCACAACAATAATAAAAAGACCAGGGTTTAAGAGAGAATATGTGAGAGATAAAATCCCCTATTTACTTGTACCAAAAAAAAAAAAGTCCCTATTTATTAATGGATTCGTAAGTCTTAACTGAAAGTGAGCTAGCCCATGGCACAGGGGAAGAGTGACCATTTTGTCGCACTTGTCAAAAAAATTTATCAAACTATCACGTCAACAGTAAATTTTGTCAAAATGCCACGCTGCACTCTTAGCCGTCGTTGAAGAAGTCTGAAAATATAACTAATTCGCATTATCTTATCTTAACTCTTAATTATTTTATATGTATGCACGCTTTTATATATAGACGACCCTCTAATAATAAAATCAATTTAAATTTTATATAAAAATAAATGGGTTTCATAAATATTTTTTCTCTCCTCTCTTTAAATAGGATTCATTTATTTTTACATGAGTGTAATATAAAATTTTTCTTCAGCAAAAGTAAAAACATTAAACTTTTTTTTTTTTGTGTGTGGAGAACATTAAACCCCTTCTAATATTTGTTGAAAGCGGTTTCATCCTCTTAATCTTTCCGTCACTTTTTTGCGGCAGAGATCCATAAAATTGGGAGCTCTACTTCTTCACCCTATTAGAGATCTCAAACAACCCACCCCCGATTTATATTCCGTAAACCTCACATTACTTTGAGTTTTTTTTTTACATGTTAACTTATTGATTACCAATGTCTTGCAAGTTGCAAATAACTGGATGGGAATAAAAATTAACATATACATATTCACCTACATTTTACCATCACTTATCCGTAAATAAAAAGTTTCTTGGACCATGTATTTTTGTTTGCTTGTAATTCAGTGGGTCCAATTAAATTATATTACACCACAAAGAGTGACCCCTTTCCAACCGCAGAGAAACAATGCAAAAAGTGAAATGTGTTGCTAGACAAAACGGAAAACCCATGGCAATCTTTAATTTCTACTTCATTATTCCGTTTTGTCTAGCAACACATTTCACCAACATGCTAACTGTGGTAGTACCTGCAGTTGATTCTGCTATTTTCAGCACTGCCATAATAAGAGAACAACAATAAGCAGTTTAATATTGATGAATATATACATATATACATGAATGGCTGGTCCCTCCTTTTTGGAACATATTCTTTAATCTCTATCTCTGGCCACCGCAATGGTTCATTACATAAAAGTTTGGTATGAGAAAAAGAAGCAAGGAGAAGTCATGGATGAGACAAAGTAAGGAATATGATAATATGCCACCAAATATACATACTCTTTTTAATTTATGTCACATTGTGATTATAATTCAAGTGTAATAATGTCTCGGGTGATAGTGGCTATAAATAGGGGATTGGTCATTTGGTAATGACTTAAGAACTAAGGTTGAGAGGAAGGGTCTTGTATGTAGGCGAAGAGTCATGTCTGGTAGCCAAGGATGACTTGCCTTGCTATTCCATTCATGGGAATTTTGTATCTTACGAATATGGAGAAATTGGAGACCCTTGTTTGGTTAATTGGCAAGCTTCCTTGGATACTTGCTTGGCTCTTGTCTTACTTGCTAGACTTTCTTCACTCTTACCATATATATATGGATGCTGAATATTTAAGGAAAGTCACTGCTTGCTGATCACTGTTGACTGTCCTGTTAATTGCATATGCACTCTGTAACATACGTGGCAATTTCAGGTAGCACCTTGATTGGTAGTCTTTTGAGTAAATTTTACATTTCATTTTTAGGATCCAGGAGAAAGTCATTTATTTATGGGCTTATGTTTTCTTCTGCAGCAGGAATTGAGATTTTTTTCCTGCACTCACAGCAACAGTGCCCATTTGTTTTTTTCTTTTTGTTTTTTTAATTATAAAGTGGGCTCCACATAGAAAATTGTCTCACTCACATGAGATAAGATATTTCCAGCAAAATAAGATAACTATTTCCCTTTATTTATCCATATATATTAAATTTTTATTTTGCAGTAATCTTATACCAATCAAAATCCATCTTTTCCTCAAGCCTATTTTCAGTGTCTTCTTTAGGTTTCTGAATGGGAATGGTGAGTATCAATTGCAAAGTAACATAACTACGTATACAAATTTTAAAAGGTACATTTGGTATACAGAAACTAGTCAATTACACTCAAATGACACTATGTCTCGAGACCACTTGGTCACATATGATTTGATAGAGTAAAGAATTATTTCAATCCAAAAGTTTAAGCCAGTAGAAACTAGAAAATGTTCAAGTTAATGGTTTTATGTTAATATCTCTAACTGATATTGTGATATTATTCAGATGACATTATCTTAAGTATATACATGTCCTGATCATTTTCATGGAACTTCAATATCACCTCCAGCTGCTCAACAAATATTATCTGCCTTAAAAAGTTAGAATATGTTTAGGGGTGAGGCTGTATATATCTTATTTACACCTTACAATGATGCAAGTCTGGTGCACTGAGCCACCCTTCTTTTCTATTTTTCTGGCATCCAAGTTCAACTTCAACCTCCTGGCTTGTTCATGGAGTGGAACCATCTATTCTCTATGTAGGGTCTCAAATGTTTGTTAGAATACGTTAAAAACTGAAAACAGTAACATTTTTATGTTAAGAGTTGCATAGAATATGGTTTTGAAGTTCTTGGAGATAATAATGCTTTACACTCCTGCAAAGATCCCTGCATTTTACAAATCTGCATATCTGCTCCACAAGAAAAGGAAAACCTTGTTCCAGGAGCCTCGGAGGTACACTCCTATACTTGAGTGCTGCATTTATATTCCTATTTTATGTATGTCTTTTGCACCCTCTCAATGCATCACTAATCCAAATCCACTTTTATTTACTGAGAATGTTTCTTTCGGTCAGTTGTCAACTTTAACTATCCGGATCATTTCATGGTTATCCTATCGTGAAACTATCGTTATTCCAAATGTGTTGATTGACTTTAAATAGGTGTTTGATACATGAATGATAAAAACATCCATTCAATTTTGCTTGAGTTATTAACGGCCGATTTGGATGTTTTTTTTTAAAAAAAAAACTATTTGTTCTTCTAAATGACACAACTTATGTCATTTCATTCTCACAAAGAGGTGAGACCCACATTTATTTATTTTTGTCCACACTCTCTCCCTTTTTATCTATCTCTTTCTCTCTCTTACAATAACATAACTTTACCTCCTTTAAAATGACATACATTTTTTTTTCTCTTTTTTTAGCCAAAAGCTGCTTTGTTTGAGGAAAAAAAGTACTTCTATTACAAAGTCTGTTTGGATGTCTGTTTTAAAAAAAAAGCAGAAGCTACAAAAAGGCTAAAATCCTACTTTTTTTTGGAAGTTAAAAAATTCAGCTTCTAAAAAAAGCCAGAGTCAAAAGCCAAATAATTTTTTCTAAATCCATTTTTTTTTTAAATCTTAATAGCTTTAGCATTTGTAAATGATACTTCTACAGTAAGCAAGACATTAAAAACATTTTTCATAAGCCCATCCAAATAGGCCCTAGAGTGATAATTACATCAATAGTTTCAGGGGAAAATATTTCTGCAGTTACTGCAGATAAGTTATCTGCATTTTTTCTCAAAACGACGTCGTTTTGGTATTGAAATCTTAAAAAATTATAAATACAAAAACTATTATAACCCTGAAATAAATTAAAATTACAAAAACACCATGATTTTCGCCCCAAAACGACGTCGTATTAGGCTTACGGCAGATAACTTATCTGCAGTAACTGCAGAAAAAGCGAACCCATAATTTTATATGTTATATTATTGGGAAAAAATATCTAATGTTACTTTAGATTATTTTGTCTAATTTTCACCGAAATGATGTCGTTCTGGGATTGAAAAATTAAAAAATTAAAATGATAAACACTATTATACCTCTGAAATAAATTAAAGTTACAAATACACATTGATTTCCTCCCCAAAACGACGTCGTTTTGGTGAATATTAGACAAAGTTGTCTAAAATAATTTTAGAAAAAACATATCTAACATACTTTCTTATACAAAAGCCCTTAAGCTTGAAGAGTAAATAATATATAGGCTCATTTTTTAGTTTATTTCGTGCTAATTTTAACTTATTTTCCAATTTTGTTAAAAAAAATGGGACAAATAGGATAACATTTATGATTACTAAGGTTTGATATCATACAAAATATTATTTCAATTCAAAAATTTAACTTATTAAATAAAGAAAAAATGTTTATCCTTTTAAATACACAACTTATATCTTTTCACTCTGACAAAGAGGTGTGATCCACACCTTTATTTTTTTTGTCAAATTTTTCTCCTCATTTATCTATCTCTTTCTCTCCTATAAAATGACACAATTTTTCATCCTTTAAAATGGCACACACTTTTTCCATTAAATAAATGTCATATTAATAATTTAATATTATATTAGGGTTCGTTTTTTCTGCAGTAAGCCCAATACGACGTCGTTTTGGAACAGAAATCATTGTGTTTTTGTAATTTTAATTTATTTCAAGGTTATAATAGTTTTATATTTATAATTTTTTAAGATTTTAATACCAAAACGAAGTCGTTTTGGAAATAAATGAAGATAATTTATTTGCAGTAACTGCATAAACATTTTTCCCATTATATTATCTCCCTAACATTTTGGTGACATCATATATAATATGCATGTTAGAAGATAGAAGTGCCTACATATAAGATATCTATATTTGTGTTCTTTGACGAGTATCTCCAAAAGCATTGCTACTTTATGAGAGTACAACTCGCTGCACCAAATTCTTACTAGTTAATTAGGTATAAGATTTCTATATATACGTGATTCTTCATGTTATTACATCTTCAATGTCTACATAAATGTGATGTTACATGGTAATAAGCGAGTCGCGACAAAAAATGACTGAAGTTTAGATCCCAAAGAAAAAAATAGCAATTTTAGACATATTGGATTTCTAAAACTATCATTTCCTAATTTTGTATATATAATTAAGTGTAAATTATATCAATTATTATATCATATGTTTATGAATTTTAATAACCTTATAATGAAAAAAAATCGCATGGATATTGAATTAACAATAGGGTATTAATAAATAAAAATCATTATTTAAAAAATTAAAGCATAACCGATAGAGATATAGAAGCATTTATAAATAAATAAATAATAGTGAGGAGGTAATTAATAAGGGATAAACAAAAATCATGTTACAGGTAAAAAATTGGTGTCATACAATCACTATAGACAAAATAAAATCATTGAATACAGTGTCACTTCAAGCTTTTTATTATTATTTGATTTGTCGTTAATTTCGTAGGAAATTATTTTTTGACGACAAATGGAAAGCCCAAGTAATATACCTAATCATTTTTTTGGTATCCTCCTAATCATTTTTTATTAAGAAGTAATATTCCTAATCATTAAACATGGTTTAAGTATATAGATAGAAATTTTAACTTAAGGAAATTATACCCGTACCGTACATATTTAATTTTTTCTCACAAATCCTTCATAAACTTATATTCAAGCATTCGATAACACAGTTCCGTTATAACTTTTTTTTGGATGATTTAGATGAATCTATCTTAGAATCAACAAGAAATTTATGACCACAAAATTTGTGTAATTAATATTACTCTTCAATCAAATAGTTAGCATAAGATAAATTTGTGATCATTTCATACTTGAGTGTTTATGGTTTGGTTGAATTTGGTTTTGAGAAGAAAAGTCATATAAATTAAGGGAAATCATTTTTTTATGTTGTAGGAAAAGAGTTATCTCATATAATAGAAATAAAATTATAAATGGAACCTATACATAAGAGATGGGATCCACTCTATTTTGTGTGTATTGAAACTTTATTTCTCTTATGTAAAATGAGAGAAATAGAACCCATAAATTAAACAATCGATTTGTTTTTAATTAAGAAACCAAATTAAATCAAAACAAATCTCAATTAGTTTGGTCTTTTTCAGTCCAACCAATTTGAAAATATTCAAAAAAAATAATAATTCAAATTTTACTTATTCTTCCCTTTTTATGTCCCAATAAACAGTTGCCTAACATTCTTGACAAAGAGCATAACCA